CTCCCCAGTTGGATTTATACCAAGTTTTTGTCTCTACTTAAGAGACTAATTCAAAGCAGAGACATAAATAAGGTACAAGAATGAGAACATGGCCGGTGCAGCAGCTCAATAGGCTAATCCTCCGCCTGCGGTGCTGGCACCCTGGGTTCTAGTCCCGGTTGGGGCACCGGATTCTGTCCCGGTTGCTCCTCTTCTAGTCCAGCTCTCTGCTGTGGCCCGGGAGGGCAGTGGAGGATGGCCCAAGTGCTTGGGCCCTGCACCCGCATGGGAGACCAGGAGAAGCACCTGGCTCCTGGCTTCAGATCGGCGCAGCGAACACATGGAAAAAGGAAGACCTTTCTCTCTGTCTCTCTCTCTCACTGTCCACTCTGCCTGTAAAAAAAAAAAAAAAAAAAATTGAGAACAGGATTTATTTAAACGGGTAATACACATTCAGACCTGAATTTGGGCAAACTCTTTCCATGATGAAAGAGTGGCAGCTGCTGCTGCTGAGCCCTTCTAAGTTCAGGTTGCCCCTTTCTTGGCCAGGGTGTGTTGCCCTAATTAAATGTACAAATAGTGTGGAGTTTGGATGGGGCTTCAGTGTAGGTGGTGACCATAACTTCTCCACAGGGAGCTCAGCACATGTTGTCATAGAAAACCGTGCATTATGAGGAAGTGAGGCTCAGGTGCCTCATGGGATGCACATGTGGCAAGCCTGTAGCCATGTTGGATCAGCATGAAAGAGGAGTGGAGTTTTAGCAGTCCTGGCTCCTACAAGGAGATTGCTGACATTTCTTTCAGTTTTTCTCCCCTCACTAGCTTCTTGCCTCGCTTATATTAACCCACTTGGCGATGCCTGTATCAACATGTCAAAGTGCTGGGTTCAAGTCCTTCCTCTGCTCCTAATTCCAGCTTTGTGCTAATGTGTGCCCTGGAATGCAGCAGGTGATGACTCAAGTAGCAGAGACCCAAACACCAATTTGGATTGAGTTATTGGCCACTGACTTGCATCTGGCTGCCGTAGGCATTTGGGGAAGCAAACCAGCAGATGGAAGATCTCTTTCTGTCCGCCTTTCAAAAATAAAAGGAAAATGTAAATAAATGAACTAGATAGATTTGGTTAAAAAAATCGTGTTGATGGTAAAGGAACTGCTGAGTTTGAGAACTTTACACAGTAATATAGTTGTCTTTCAAACACACTTTATAATAGATCAGGGGCATGTGTGTTTATACACTAGGGGTAAAGGTCTAAAAGGATAAAGCTTGTCTCTGATGGTTCTACATTGTTGAATATTGACATGACTAAAATCTTCCATTTTTGTGAACCTGAGCAATTCTTTCTGGTTTATTAGATCCTCACATAAATATCTTCTGTAGGTGATTGTGACTTACAAAGGAGATAGTGGTGTGGTAGGGGAGAGAAGGGAAGAGGAGTGGAAATGGTTACACAAGTGGCTAAAAGACTTACTTAAGCTTCTTTTTATGTACAAATTTTACAGCTGAAGGGGGAAAACCTCCCAAAAATGTTTGTTGTAAACATTTAGAAGATACTAAAGAGCATAAAGAAGGAAAAATTTTAAGATTTCTTTGATGGGCAGAGTTTGGGAGGGATGTTGAGTGTTTTTTTTTTTTTTTTTTAAGATTTATTTATTTATTTGAAAGAGTTACAGAGAGGGAGAGACACAGAGAGATATCTTCCATCTGCTGATTCACTCTGCAGATTGCCACAATGGCCAGGCCAGGCTCCAGGAGCTTCTTCTAGGTCTCCCATGTGGGGAGCAAGGGCCCAAACACTAGGACCATCTTCTGCTTTCCCAGACCATTAGCAGGGAGCTAGATCAGAAGTGGAGCAGCCAGGATACAAATGAATGCCCATATGGGATGCTGGTGAGTATCACAGGCAGTGGCTTTACCTGCTATGCCACAAAGCCTGCCCCAGGAAGAAAAAAATTTTAAAATTACCTCTGGTTCCATCATTCACATACAACCTATGTAATATTTTGGTGTATATCATCCCATATTTTTTTTTTTGCATACATACATGTACACAGTTACAGTTTTACTCAAAATAAAGTGGGATCATGTTATGTATGTTTCCACTAAGTGGATTTTTAGGGTGCATACCTGTTTTAAGGCATTTTGGAGTGTGGGCATTAGGTACACTGGTTAAGATGTGACTTGGGACACCGACATCCCATATCGTAGTTCCTGCGTTTGATACCCTGCTCCACTCCCTAATGTGAACCGTGGGAGGCAGCAGAGATGGCTAAAGTAGTTGGATTCATTCCACCCACCCACATGTGAGATCTGGATTGCATTCCTGGTTTCTGGCTTTTGGTCTTGGCCCTGCCTGCCCCAGCTGTTGTGAGCATTTGGAGAATGAACAAGCAGACAGGATCTCAGTCTGTCTGTCATTTCAATTAAGTTTTTTTTTTTTTTTAAGATTTCTTTATTTATATGAAAGGCAGATTTTTTTTATTTATTTGAAAGATCTTCCATCTGCTGGTTCACTCTCCAAATGGCTGCAACGGCTGGAACTGGGCCAATCTGAAGCCAAGAGCAAGGAGCTTCTTCTGGGTCTCCCATGTAGGTGCAGGGACCCAAGGACTTGGGCCATTTTGTACTACTTTCCCAGGCCATAGCAGAGAGCTGGAACAGCTGGGACTCGAACCTGTGCCCATATGGGATGGCAGTACTTCAGGCAGTGCTTTGCCATAGCGCTGGCCCCTCAATTAAGTTCTTTACCAAAAAAAAAAAAAAAAAAAAAAAAAAAACTTATGTAAAATTTAAAACACACACACACACACACACACGCACACACACAAACCATCCCTCCACCTCCACTCCATCCCACCCGCCTGCCAGAATAGAGACTAGACCTTTAACCTTCTGGTCCCCCAATTTCAGGGGTTTTAGTACATGGATAATCTTATTCATATCCACCTACTTTTGCATTTTTAAAAAAATTTTTTAAATTTATTTGAAAAACAGTAAGGGAGGAGGGCGGGGCGGGGTGGGGGGAGATCTTCATTTGCTGATTAGGTCCCTAACTGGCCATTACGGCCAGGGCTGGGCCAAACCAAAGCCTGGAGCTCTATCCAGGTCTCCCACATGGGTGGAAGGGGCCTGAGAACTTGGACCATCTTCTGCAGCTTTCCCAGGTGTATTAGTAGAGATCTGGGACTCAAACTGGTATTCTGCATTTTTTGAAGTCAGTTGCAGATAAATATTTAAGCATTTGTATTAGAATTTTACATTTTGCTAAGTTACTTTATGTAAAAATGTTGTCAGTGTATACTTGACAGAGATAAAATTTAAAAAACCTAAAAACCTTTTGAGAATCCTGATGTTATGAATTAGATGCATGTATATAATTTTCCTCAGGTTCAGGTGGAGTATCAAAAATACAAAATGCTTCTAAATCTGAAACTTCTTAAGTTCATGTTGGCTATAGTAAAGTCTGTGCAAGTACTGCAAAACCCATAAAAATGTGAAATCATAAATACTTGTGGTCTCAAGCATTTCACATCAGGGATATTCAAACTATAATACAGAAAAAAACAAGTCAAGTGAATCTGGCTGTGCTTATAGAGCCTAGCAGAAAACTTTTCAGTTTCTTCCTCCTAAGTACATCCCTCATGGAAATGCTGTGACGGTTAGATAGAGTGACCATCTAACTTATTATCCAAACTGGGACACTTTGAGATTAAAAGGAGGTTCTGTAAAAATAGTGTCAGGTATAAAGCAGGATGTTATCTTTTTTTTTTAATTTTTTTTTTATTTGACAGAGTTAGAGAGAGACAGAAAAGTCTTCCTTCCGTTGGTTCACCCCCCAAGTGGCAGCCATGGCTGGCGCTGTGCCGATCCGAAGCCAGGAGCCACAAGCTTCCTCCTGGTCTCCCACACGGGTGCAGGCTCCCAAGCACTTGGGCCATCTTCCACTGCCTTCCCGTGCCACAGCAGAGAGCTGGACTGGAAGAGGAGCAGCCGGGACTAGAACCTGGCCACCCATATGGGATGCCAACACTGCAGGCGGAGATTAGCCAAGTGAGCCATGGCGCCAGCCCCAGGACAGTATCTTGGCATAGCTGGATTGTATATTCATTGTAGTACTAGATAATACATGTAGGGGCTGGCATTGTGGCAGGTTAAGCCACTCCTGTATGAGAGCACTGGTTCTCATCCTGGCTGTTGGGCTTCGATCCATTTCCCTGCCTGGGAAAGCAGTGAAAGATGGCCAAAGTTTGGGCCTTTGCCACCCATGTGGGAGACCACATGGAGTTCAAGGCTCCTGGCTTTGGTGTGGCCCAGCCCAGCCCAGCCTAGCTATTGCAGCCATTTGAGAGTCAACCCAAAGGATGGAAGATAACTGCCATTCCCCCCTCATCCTGACTCCCCCACGATCTTTCAAATAAATAAGTCTTTTTTTAAACAAAGATAATGCATATAAGGTATTTCTACATCTAGTTGATTATATCGCATAGTCTATAAGTGGTAGTTTTATTGAATTTAAAAGTTTATATGTACCCATGTATGGATATGTATTAAAGTCTTCCCTTTAAAAGAAGTGCTTTGGAGCCAGTGTTGTGGTATAGCTGGTAAAATTTCCGCCTGTGACACCAGCATCCCACATGGATACTGGTTCAAGTCTCGGCTACTGTGCTTCCAATCCAGCTCCTTGCTAATGGCCTGATAACACAGCAGAAGATGGCCCAAGTCATTGGGCCCCTGTACCCATGTGGCAGACCTGCCAGAGGCTCCTGGCTCCTGGCTTTGACCTGGCCCAGCCCTGGCCATTGCAGCCATTTGGGGGAGTGAACCAGGGGTTGGAAGATTTCTATCCCTCTGTCTCTTCCTCTCTCCTCTGTAACTCTGCTGTTCTTTGAATAAAGAAATAAATGTTTTGAATTGATAACTCAGAACATCATAAGTTTTCATTAGTGTGCCTTTTTGGAGCTGGCAGCAGTTCACCATTTTTTAAAAATAGACCTAATCTTCTTTTGTATTAATATTTGCAGGCGGAGAATGCTGGAGGAGACCTTAAGGATGGCTGCCACCACCATGAAGGAGCTGTTGTCATTTTGGATGCTGGTGCTCAGTATGGGAAAGTCATAGACCGAAGAGTGAGGGAACTATTTGTGCAGTCTGAAATCTTCCCCTTGGAAACACCAGCGTTTGCTATAAAAGAACAAGGATTCCGGTAGACTTTTCATTATCGTTTTTATGAAGAGATTGAGCTTGGGTCATGGGATATTTTATTATTGATTTGCTTGAACACTGCATTTTCCTATGGAAATAAGATAGAGAATGGTTTTGAGAAGTTTCCCATGGTTCCGATTTGAAAGAGAGGGGTGGAAAGGAGGGATTAAGCTTTCAGTTAAGAAGATCACCAGGGCCAGTGCTGTAGCGCAACAGGTTAAAGGTCAGCCTACAGCACTGCCATCCCATATGGGCTCCGGTTTGAGTCCCGGCTGCTCCGCTTCTGAACCAGCTCTCTACTATGGCCTGGGAAAGTGGCAGAAGATTTGGGCCCCTGCACCCGCATAGGAGACCCAGAAGAAGCTCTTGACTCCTGGCTTCCGATAAGCTCAGCTCTGGCCATTGTGGTCATCTGGGGAGTGAACCAGCGGAATGGAAGACCTCTCTCTCTGGCTCCACTTCTCTCTGTAACTCTGTCTTTCAAATAAATAAAATAATTCTTTCAAAAAAATTACCTTAATTTTAACTTTACAGTTAGAAGAACCTATATGAATATTTGATGTTGATAAGATTTGTTGGTCAGAGTTGTATGCAGGTGTTAAGGTTGTTTATTCATCCTAAAAGTGCTTAATCCAAGGAAATTACATAAAATTAGGTAGAATACCCAAAAGAGAAGAAATCTGTTTACAACAAATCTGTTTTGCTTTCTGTTCCAAGAGGCTAGGTTCTAAAGTATAAAAAATATTTCCTAAGTCTTAATATAAGGACTAACTCCAATAGCTTATACCCTTAGAACTGGTCAGAAAAACAGCCAACATCTGTACAATGTCTTTTTAAAAAGATTTTCTTATTTATTTAAAGTTTATTCATTTGAAAGGCAGAAAGAGAGACATCTTCCATCTGCTGGCTGCCTTCCCACAATTCTGTAACGTCTGGAGCTGGGGCTAGGCCAGGCTGAAGCCAGGAGCCTAGAACTCAGTCTGGGTCTCCCATGTGGGTGGTAGGAACCCAAGTACTTGATCCATTATCTGCTACCTCATAGGGTATGCATTATCAGGAAGCTGGACCTGGAAGCAGAGCCAGGACTCAAAAAACCCAGAACTCCTATATGGGATGTGGACATCCTAAGCAGCCAGCTTAATCACTGTGCCAAAAACCTTAACAACTATTTCTGGTTAATGCTGTCCTTCCTCCCCTTCCCTCTCCCTCCCTCCCTCCCTTCCTTCATGATTTATATATTTATTTTAAAATCAGTGTTAGAAGCAAAGAGAGAGAGAGAGATTTTCCATTCTCTGGTTCACTCTCCAGACGGCTTCAACAGCCAGGACTGGGCCAAGCCGAAGCCAGGAGCTTCTTCCAGGTCTCCCATGTGGGCACAGGGCCCAAGCCCTTGGGCAGTCTTCCACTTCTTTTCCAGGCACATCATCAGGGAGCTGGATAGGAAGTGGAGCAGCCAGGATTCAAACCGATGTCTCTATGGGGTCCAGGTAGCACAGGTGGTGACTTAACCTGCTATGCCATGGTGCCAGCCCCTGCTGTACCTTTTTCACATAGAATTATTCTTCTTTATTAGAGTGTTTTTTTTCTAGAAGCAAACAATTGCAGTTTGTCCTTATTTGGCACAGGAACACCCCTCTACCACCAAATTTTTTTTTTTTTTTTTTGAGATTTTCTTTCAAAGGTGGGGTATGGTGCGAGAGGAAGATAGAAAATCCATCTACTAGTTTACTTCCTAAATGACTGCAATAGCCAGGTCTGTTCTACGCTTAGGCCAGGATCCAGAAACTCCATTCTAGTTTCTCACATGAGTGGCAGGGGCCCCAATTCTTTCACTAACATCCCAGGCACATTAGCTGGGGTCTGGGTCAGAAGCAGAGTATCCAGGTTTCCAATCAGCACTCTGATATAGGATGCCTGCTTTGGAAGTGGTAGTTTAACACAGTGCACCACAGTGCTGGCCCTGGCACATAAATATAATAGACATGCCATGCATCTCCAAAACATATTTTACCTTTCTTTGAAACAATTGTTTTGCAAATGAGAAAATGGTTAAAAGAACTTGTAAAAACTTACTAGACATGTGCAGTGCATATTGTTCTGTGTATTTATTTGGAAGGCAGAGTTACAGAGAAGCAGAGGCAAAGGCAGAGAGAAGTCTTTCATCCACTGGTTCACACCCGAAATGGTTGCAATGGCTGGAGCTGGGCTGATCCAAAGCCAGGAGCTTCTTCTGGGTCTCTGATGTGGGTGCAGGGGCCCAAAGACTTAGGCCATCTTCCGTTGCTTTCTCAGGCACATTAGCAGGGAGCTGGATTGGAAGTGGAACAGCTGGGATTCAAATTGGTGCCCATATGGGTTGCCAGCACTGAAGGTAGCAGCTTTACCCACTACGCCACAGGGCCGGCCCCTCTGTGATTTCTTCATTCTAAAGTAGAGTAGTGAAAATCAGAAAAGGCAGGTTTACATTTTTTTTTCTTTTAAGATTTATTTGAGAGGCAGTGTTACAGACAGAAGTCTTCCATCTGTTGATTCACTCCCCCAGTGGCCACAATAACTGGAGCTGGACAGTTCTGAAGCCAGAAGCTTCTTCCAGGTCTCCCATATAGGTGCAGGGGCCCAAGCACTTGGGCCATCCTCCAGTGCCTTGCTAGGCATTTTAGCAGGGAACTGGATCAGAAGTGGAACAGCTGGGACTTGAACTTTTGCCCATATGGGATGTAGGCGCCACAGGCAGCAGTTTACTATGCCACAGCACAGGCCCCAGATAGATTTAAATTGATCTCTATTCCAGTTTTAGGATACAGATTAAAAGCCACACTCCTTTAAATGGTGGAATTTTAAAGATGTGCTCCTTGAGTTTATCTAATTCAGCTGTGTTGATGTACTAGCAAGAATTAGTTTCATAGACTGAGAAATCTGAATGGCTGTGTGTCAGACCTAAGCCCTGCCATTTTCCCCCTCCTAAAACAAAATATCCTTTGTAAACAATACTTTAGATTAGGGTGACCACATACTTGGCAATAGAAATCTGTGTTTCCTGTCAGTTGATCATAAACAGTTCCTAGGTCCAATTTCTTTAGAGGTTTTTTCTTTTCTGTAGTATGGAGAAGATTAGGAACTGTATAGCACTGTGGCTTTTTGAACCATAATTCTTTGCCTGAAGTACCTGTTTGACCACCTTTCTTCTAGAATAAATGTTAGCTTTGTAACATCAGAGACATCTTAATCCACCGATTTTAGAACTTTGATCTGCCTGATACATAAAATTGATATTTGGGATAACTTAAGGTTTGTTGGGCCTTCTAATAACACTTGTAACAGCACACATTAGTTTCAAAATAGCACTATGAGAAACAGACTTCAGTGATTAGCTCTTCTCAAGATTTATGGAGATAAGAATTTTCATAATTGGTTTAAGTACTGCTTGACTTTTATCCTTGACTAAGTCCATCACATTTTAAAAATAGAACTAAGAATCTTAGAGCCTTGAGTTGTTTAGCAGATTAATGAAGAATGCTGGGCCATCCTATGTTATCCTTTATAAAGCTAAATATACTGAGATTCTGGAAATCTTTATCAGTATGTTTTATAGAATTTTATTTTATTTAATATATTTTCATTTTTAGGTAGGGTGACAGAGAAAAACGCTTCCATCTGGTGATTCACTTCCCGAATGCCCTCAGCAACCAGGGCTGTGCCAGGCCAAAAGCAGGGGCCTAGAACTCCATCTGGGTCTCCTTTGTGGGTGATAGGGGCCCAAACATTGAGCCGTCTTCTGCTTTCCCAGGCACAATTAGCAGGGAGCTAGACTGGAAGCAGAGCAGCCAGGACTCAGCCAGCACTCTGATTTAGGTTTGCAAGTGGTGGCTTAGGCTGCTTCACCACAACACTGGCTTCCTGATGATTTTAATAGTAAACTTAAGGAACAATACAGAAGACAGATGATATTAAAAACATGTACTTGCATGTAAGACAACTCAGAAAAGTTTAGTAAATGAATGGAATCTACTGTATGATTAAGACGTACACAAATACCATTTAATTGCCATCAATAAGAAATGTGCTTGCTTTAAAGAAATTAAATAATTGGCATTATTCAGAAAAATTAAACAGGTTTATTTGTATTTGTTACATGGTTGAACTTCTAAAGCTTTTTCTTTTTTTATTTTATTTTTATTTATTTATTTATTTTTGACAGGCAGAGTGGACAATGAGAGAGAGACAGAGAGAAAGGTCTTCCTTTTGCCGTTGGTTCACCCTCCAATGGCTGCCGCGGCCAGTGCACCACGCTGATCCGAAGGCAGGAGCCAGGTGCTTATCTTGGTCTCGCATAGGGTGCAGGGCCCAAGCACTTGGGCCATCCTCCACTGCACTCCCTGGCCACAGCAGAGAGCTGGCCTGGAAGAGGGGCAACCGGGACAGAATCCGGTGCCTCGACCGGGACTAGAACCTGGTGTGCCAGCGCTGCAAGGCAGAGGATTAGCCTATTGAGCCGAGGCGCCAGCCCTTCTAAAGCTTTTTCACTGACACATTTTGACCGTTTAATGATTTAAGTCCCTGCATTTATATTAAAAGTCCACACACAAATGAAAATGAAAAAACTGCCAATACCTGATTTCTGTCCTCCATTTTTCACTCACAGTTATACACTTGGGTACCTTTTGATGCCGTGGGGAAAAAAAACTTAACTTTGGAAATACTAATAAGAAAAAAATTTTTTTGAGGATAAAATAAAATATTTCCCATCACAGTAGATTCTTTTTTTTTTTTTTTTTTTTTTTTTTTTTTTGACAGGCAGAGTGGACAGTGAGAGAGAGAGACAGAGAGAGAAAGGTCTTCCTTTGCCGTTGGTTCACCCTCCAATGGCCGCCGCTGCAGCCAGCGCACCGCGCTGATCCGATGGCAGGAGCCAGGATCCAGGTGCTTTTCCTGGTCTCCCATGGGGTGCAGGGCCCAAGCACCTGGGCCATCCTCCACTGCACTCCCTGGCCATAGCAGAGAGCTGGCCTGGAAGAGGGGCAACCGGGACAGAATCCGGCGCCCCAACCGGGACTAGAACCCGGTGTGCCGGCGCCGCAAGGTGGAGGATTAGCCTATTGAGCCACGGCGCCGGCTCACAGTAGATTCTTAAGCACATTGTCCATGTGTGCTGCCAGCTAGCTGGATGTCTTTTGGCATGATTTTTACACGTGTGGCACAGATGGTGCCCAGGTTGATATCTTCAGAAAGGCCAACAGAGAGGCTCACTTGCCTCCTGCAAGGTACCAGTCATTGTGCTCTGGAAATACAGATCTGTTTTGAGGTTCTGAGCAATTTCCCGTGCCAGATGCCAGGTGGAGAGTTTGCTGCCTGATGTCACTAAATGTCACAGTACCAGGCCTATAATGATGAGTTTCTTCACCTCACCAGTAGAGGGTGTGCTCTGGTAAGCAGCTTTTGTAGTCAGTTGTTTCTTGCATGCTTTACCAGCAGTTTGTGGGCAGTCTGCTGTGAAAGAGCCGTAGTATAGGGACCTCCTTACTTACCTGTTCTCCTTCAGCTGGAGCTGGGTCAGATGGAGACAGCAAAGTGGCAGCTGCTGGAACACAGTTGAAAGGTGGCATTCTTTGTGTGTGTGTGTGTGTGTGTGTTGATTTATTATTTTTAAAGATTTATTTATGTACTTGAAAATCAGTTACACAGAGAAGGAGAGGCAGACGGGGTGGGGGAAGGGAAGGAGGGTTCCATCCGCTGGTTCACTCCTCAGAGGCCACAGTGGCCGGAGCTGTGTTGATCCGAAGCTAGGAGCTGCTTCCAGGTCTCCCACACGTGTGCAGGGGCTCAAGGACTTGGGCCGTCTTATGCTTTTCCAGGCCATAGAAGAGAGCTGGATTGGAAGTAGAGCAGCCAGGACTTGAACTGGCATCTATATGGGATGCTGGCACTGCAGGCTGTGGCTTTACCTGCTACGCCACATCGCCGGCCCGTATTTATCTTTTTTTTTAAAGATTTATTTATTCATTTAAAAGTCAAAGTTAACACAGAGGGAGGAGAGGCAAAGAGAGAGGTCTTACATCCACTGGTTCACTCCCCAACTTGCCGCAATGGCTGGAGCTGTGCTGATCTGGAGCCAGGAGCTTCCTCCGGGTCTTCCCACGTGAGTACAGGGGCCCAAGGATTTGGGCCATCTTCTGCTTTCCCAGTCGATAGCAGAGAGCTGGATCAGAAGTGGAGCAGCTGGGATTCAAACCGGTGCCCATATGGGATGACGGCATTGCAGATGGTGGCTTTACCCGCTACGCCACAGTGCAAGCCCCATAGATTTAGTTTTTATTTATTTGAAAGGCAGAGTTAGAGAGGAAAGAAAGATCTTCCATGTGCTGGTTCAATCCCCAGATGACTGCAATGGCTAGGAGTGACCAGGCTGAAGCCAGGTGTCCGGAGTTTTCTTCCAGGTCTCCCATGTGGGTGAAGGAGCCTAAGGACTTGGACCATCCGGCATTGTTTTCCTAGGCTCATTAGCAGGGAGCTGGATCAGAAGTAGAGCAGGCAGGTCTCAAACCAGCACCCATATGGGATGCCCTCTTTATAGGTGGAAGCTTAACCTGCTATGACACAACACTGGCCCCCATTCTTTGTGTTTTGTTCTGAACTATCCAGGGTATTCCTAATGCCTTTAGTTGTTCTGTGACTGATCTTGTCCTCAAAGGGGACCTGTGGTTTTTACATTTCCTTTCAGAATTTTTCTTTACTTCATTGAAGAAGAAATAATCATAACAAATTCATGCTTTCACAGATAGTATCATTGTTTTTTTTTTTAATATATTTGGAAGTTTTATGTTTACTAACAGTTGAATGCTGAGTTGATGGACATTGCAGTACAATACAGTGAAAACAATTAAGCTCTGTAGGATATTAACTGGCTATGATAAAAATCTAGATCTGTTGCAGTATACTGAAGATAAAACAAAATCTTTGAATCTGTGTTGTTTCCTTCAGAGTATCAGAGAGAGAACATAGACTTTGTGAAAACATGAGCAGTTAGAGGTGGCTCAGTAACTGTCTTCTTTAAATCCACAGTGCTATTATAATCTCCGGAGGACCCAATTCTGTGTATGCAGAGGATGCTCCCTGGTTTGATCCAGCGATATTCACTATTGGCAAGCCTGTTCTTGGAATTTGCTATGGCATGCAGGTATATCTTGAAAAGTTGCTTTAAGAGTTTACTTATATTTTATTGTTTGTGACTCATACTTCTTTAGTATTTTCTCTCTTTAGGATATTTACTTGGCTGAGATAGTTTGTATGTACTGCAGCTATGTATGAATTGTACACTAATGTGGCCAAATTGACCCGATAGTGAATCTGCCATCAGAAAAGTAAACTTCTTAACAAAACATTGTCCATTAAAAAAAAGCCAAAACTTGTACATACAAATCTATAGAAAAGTTGCAGAAATACAGATTGAATATCCCTTATCTGAAAACCAAAATGCTCTGAAATCTGAGATGGTAGGTTGTTACTGTCTCATCCACAAATTCCATTTAGCATTGACATTATGCTGAAGAGTTTTGGAGTTTGAATATTCAGGTTTTTGAATGTTTGGATAGGAGTGTTCAACTGGTAAAGTATGCGCATATCCCCACCAAAAAACTCCAGAATCTAAAACACTTTGGTCCCACGCATTTGGGGATACTTAGCCTATGGTACACAGAGCTTCTGTATGCCTTTGCCCAGTTTTCTAATTGACATTTTTGAACCATTTGAGGAAGTTTGATGTGATGTCCTGTTACTTTTATTTTTTAAGTCCTTGGATGCTCTTCTACAGAATCATTATACAGCTATTAAAATTAGGACATTCATGCTGGTACGTTGTTACCATCTCATCCACAGATTCCATTCTTTTTGTCTCTTTGATGTCCCTTCTAGGGCATGGTTCCAGTCCAGGACCATGTGTAATATTTGTCATTTCTCTTTAGACTCCTTTAGTCTGAAGTAAAAGAGTTCCTTGGTTGTTATTTTCTTCTCTTTTATGATCTTGATCTTGACAGTATCTTTTAAAAGCACATACCAGTTCCTTTGTACACTATCTCTCGATTTTGGTTTGTGTAATCCTTCATCATTTCTAGTTTTGGATTACACATTTTTGGCAAGAGTATCATGGGAGTGATGCTATGCTTCTGTTCAGTGTGTCTTTCCAAGAAGCACACAGTGTTGATTTATAACATGACAACTGATCTTAATTTTGATCATTTGGTTAAGATGATGTCTGTTGTGTTTCTCCACTGTAACATTAATAAATATATTTACCTGGGTGTTGTCTCAAAATGAATAATAGATGAGTATTGTAAATCAAGACCTCAAAGTTCCTATTTAGGGGCAGGTGTTTGGCATAGAGGTTAAGATGCTGCTTGGGCTGCCCACATCCAGTGTTAGAATGCCTGATTTAAGTCTTGGTTCTTCTGATCCAGCTTCCTGCTAGTGTATACCCTTCGAGACAGCAAATAGTGGCTCGAGTACATGGGTCCCTGTCACCCATGTGGCAGACCTAGATTTGTGTTCCAGGCCCTTGGCTTTGTCCTGGTCCACCCCTGACTGTTTCTGACTTTTAGGGAGTAAACCAGTTGGTGGAAGCACTATCTCATCTCGCTCTTGCTTTCGCTCTTCACTCTTCACTCTTCTACCCTCTCTTTCTCTGTTTCAAATAAAATGAAAATATTAGTTTCATTATAATATATAGTATTTCATTATATATATCAATATAAAATGTTTTTAAGGTTTGTATTGTTTCCTGTGAGTAAATTTTTTAAAAATATTTTTCTTTCAAATTACCTTTTTTTTTTTTTTAAAGATTTATTTATTTATTTGAAAGTCAGAGTTACACAGAGAAGGAGAGGCAGAGAGAGGTTTTCCATCCTCTGGTTCACTCCCCAAATGACTGCCACGGCCAGAGCTGAGCTGATCTGAAGCCAGGAGCTTCTTCTGGGTCTCCCATGCAGGTGCAGGGGCCCCAGGACTTGCCAGAGTTAATGTTTTGGAATCTGTTTTGAATGCTTTGTTACCATTTTGCTTACTTTTCCTTTTTTTTTTTTTTTAAGGTTTTTTTTGGGGGGGCAGTTTTAGTTTCACAACAAAATTGAGAAGAAAGTGTAGAGCAGTTTCCCCATATTCCCCCATCCTCACACATGCATAGCTTCTGCAGTTATCAACATCCCATGCTGGAGTAGCACATTTGTTAGGATTGGTGAATGTATGACAACTCATCATTACTACCTAAAGTGCATAATTTATGTTAAGGTTCTCACTTGGTGTTGTACAGTCTGTGAGTTTGCACAGCTGTATAATGACATGCATTTTGTGTTATATTATCATACATAGAATTTTTACTGTCCAACAGATCCATTGTGCTCTTCATATCCATCTCTTCCCCCCAAACGTCTGGCAATCACTGATCTTAATTTGAAGTCATGTAGTATGTAGCCTTTTCAGGGTGGCTTCTTTTGCTTAGTAATCTGCATTTAAGAATTCTCTGTCTTCTCATGGCTTGATGGTACATTTCTTTTTATCACTGAATAGTCCTTTGTATGGATATACCACTGTTTATTCATTCACCTACTAAAGGGCATCTTGGTTGTTTTCAAGTTTTGCTGTTTATATGATAAAGGTGTATAATCTTGCAGGTGTTTGGGGCAAATTTAAGTTTTCAACTTCTAGAGTAAATTCTAAGAGGAGCAATTAGTGTATCCTGTGATAAGAGTATGTTTAATTTTGTAAGAAGCTGCCGAACTGTCTTCCAAAGTAGCTGTACCATTTTGCATTCTCACCAGCAAATGAGAGATCCTGTTCTATATGCTTGTCTGTATTTGATGTTGTGACATTCTGGAATTTGGTCTAGTTTACTTTAAGTAATGTAGATTTATTAGACAAGTAGAATTTTTTTTTAAAAGATTGTTTATTTGAGAGGTAGAATCACTGACAGAGGGAGAAATAGAGAGAAAGGTCTTCCATTTGCTGGTTCACTCCGCAAATGGTGGCAGTGGCTGGAGCTCCAAAGCCAGGAGCCAGGAGCTTCTTCTGGGTCTCCCATGCAGGTGCAGGGGCCCAAGCACTTGGGCCATCTTCCACTGCCTTCCCAGCTATATGCAGCTGGATCGGAAGAGGAACATCTGGGACATAATGTGGCACCCAGATGAGATGCCAGCACTGCAGGTGGAGAAGCCCACTATGCCATAGCACCAGCCCCAGAATGTTGTTATTAAACTATAGAAATACTGAGAGGTGAATATTGTGGCATAGCAGGTAAGCTGTCACCTGTGACACCAGCATCCCATATGGCCATTGGTTCATTTTGCAGCTGCTCTACTTCTTTTTTTTTTTTTTTTTTTTGTTTGACAGGCAGAGTTAGACCGTGAGAGAGAGACAGAGAGAAAGGTCGTTTTCTTTAAAGCAAGCACATTCCTTATTGATGGCAATTAAATGGTATTTGTGTACGTCTTAATCATACAGTAGATTCCATTCATTTACTAAACTTTTCTGAGTTGTCTTACATGCAAGTACATGTTTTTAATATCATCTGTCTTCTGCATTGTTCCTTAAGTTTACTATTAAAATCATCAGGAAGCCAGTGTTGTGGTGAAGCAGCCTAAGCCACCACTTGCAAACCTAAATCAGAGTGCTGGCTGAGTCCTGGCTGCTCTGCTTCCAGTCTAGCTCCCTGCTAATTGTGCCTGGGAAAGCAGAAGATGGCTCAATGTTTGGGCCCCTATCACCCACAAAGGAGACCCAGATGGTGTTCTAGGCCCCTGCTGGGCCACAGCAGAGAGCTAGACTGGAAGAGGAGCAACCGGAACTAGATCTCGGCACCCATATGGGATGCTGGCGTTGCAGGCGGAGGATTAACCAAGTGAGCCATGGTGCCAGGTCCCCAGCTGCTCTACTTCTAATCCAGCTCCCTGCTTATGGCCTAGGAAAAGCAGCAGCAGATGATCCAAGTGCTTTGGCTGCTGCCACCCATATGGGAGACTAGGAAGAGGCTCTTAGCTTTGGCCTGGCCCATCCCTAGTTGTTGGGGCTGTCTTGGGAGTGAACCACCAGATGGAAGAGTTCTGTTTCTCCCCCTCTCTCTAATTGTGCCTTTCAAATAAATAAGTCAATCTTGAAAAGAAAAAAGTAAATTCTTAGGGGTGGGCATCTGGCCTACTCATTAAGACACCTACAATCCCACACTGGAGTGTTTGGGTTTGATTCCTGGCTGTGGCTCTTTATGTAGACCCTGGAAGCAGTGGTTGTGACGTAAGTAATCGGATTCCTACCACCCATGTGGGTGACCTGGATTGAGTTGCATCTCCTAGCTTTGGCCCTGCTGCAGCCTCTGCCATTGCAGGCAGTTGGAAAGTGAATTGGTAGATTCACTGAGCCAGTAACATGCTAAATTCTCACTTATAAAAATGTTTTAATTGGGTAAGATTAATTACTAACAAGATAGGAATAGAAACATTTAAAGAGCGTTATCACTGATGGTGGTTAGCAAAATGGTTATCTGGTGAAGAGAATTTTTAACAATGTGTCTTATTTAACTAGGTCTTCTGAGTTAGTTTAGGAAACTGTTCTTGAATAATAGATTATTAGTTGATGTTACGGTCTTTTGTCTTTTCCAATGTTGAAAGTAGGGTTCTGTTTTAATCTCAGGTTTCTTTGCTAAGAACAGCCAAATAAACATAAATGACTTTGAATTAATTTATTTAGATTGTGAATTATCTTAACCTCTTTTGCCTTTTGGCTTTTGCATCTACTAATGTGGAAGGGATCACAGGGTTAAGATAGAAATGGAGTTAATCTAATTGTGAGAACCTAATTAACCAAAATGGAGTTGGTGTTAATTAAAATAATCATACTTAATTTCCTCATGATATTCTGATCCTCATTGATTATTGGGAAATAGGGTAATTTTCACTTTCTTGCATATAAGTCTCAATAATAAAAATATTCATTTCTCCCAGTGATTCAGTTAATTCCTTAATTTCTTAGATTGAAGATAATTTTGCAATTTTAATAAGTGGACAAAACGGCACTTTTCCAGTCTTTTTGAAAGTGTTTTGCTTGGATATGAATATTGCACAAAGGGAAGCTATTTAAAGTAGAAAGTGAACAGATCAATTTGTTTTCTCTAGCTTTGGAGCTTTCAGTAAAGGTTAAGTGTTTGCTTAAGAATGTTTAACGTTTTTATTTTTATTCTTGAGACAAATAGCAGAATATTAGAAGGAAGATGATCAGCAGCTGTACCAGATTCAGTTTTCTTTTAATAACTTGCTATGGTTTTGATTAGACGAAATACTTGTCATTAAAAATGTGTCAAGTACAAAAGCTTCAACTGTGAATATTTTCTTGGTAGTAAGCACTTTATAGTAAAAGGCTCCCCTCCCCCCTTATTCTCTGAAAAGCTTTAACTGGTAATTATGAATTTGACTTGGAAAAAAATGATTATTCTCCCTACCAACCGTAGAAGTGCCTGCATCCTGATTGAGTTGAATATTGGAAATTGACTGGCTTTTTTAAATATACTTTTATCCTAGGATTAAGTATATTCACGTAACATATTGGTTTTCTTTGCCAGAGTAGTTAATCATGTAGTGCTACTTACACTAACAACCATTTGATTTAATTATACTGAGAGTCATTATAAGTCTTAAGGAAGAGTCTCAGGGTTATTTTTTTTACACCCACTTACAATAAAATGCATCTGGAAAATGCTCTTAATTTGAGAGAGTGGCTTAGAATTTCCTTTTTAGACATTCCCTATGTAATTATAAGGCCAGAGTTTTATGTCATTAACTGGGGTATTTTATGACAACCAAAGCCATAGCTGCTCATGTTAAATTCATTAAAAATTTGCCTTTATTGTCATCTAAACCTTCATAGCAGAAAATGAAATAGTCCTTTGACCAAAGATTGTTCTTCCATAAAATAGTATTGATGAGTCCAAAAGACTACCATTGATTAGTGAATGATAATTTTAGCACCAAAAGGTTGGGTATTTACTCCCCCAAAGTGTCTGAAATTTCAGTAATTTAGTGGTCTTAGATACTAAATAATAAGTCGTTTTCTCATTAATTGGCCTCTCCCGTGTGTCTTTCTGATTGCTTCCTGGTAATTCTAGTTACATCAGAAGAAAGGTCTATTCTGCTCATTGCTCCCCTTATTACTGATTGACCCCTACTCAGCATAAGAAATGGAATGTAGGTAGAACTTTTGAAACCCGCTTTATACCTTTCTTCTCACAGTCCTCTCTTCCTGTCAAAGGTCACAACTTTTTCAGAATTTTGTTACTGATTCTATTTTTTGGCTTTATATAAATGGAATCAAACTGCCTGAATTATTTTTACCTTTAGGTTTGAGTTTCATTCACGTGAATACATTTAAACATGTTGTTCATTTCTGCTCTTGGTCATTTGAATATAGCACAAATTATTTTTACAATCCCAAGTTTGTGTAGGTTTTTTTTGTGTGTGTGTTTGTGATTACAGACAGTACTGCCATCAGTGTTTTTGTACTTTTGGTGTTGTATATACTGTAGGTTAGTTGGGAGTAGAAATGCTGAGTTGCTCATTATGTTCATTTACAGCCTCACTGGGTAATGATATTTTTTTCCTTTTAATTTATTAAAGTTTTATATGTAAATACCTTCTGTTCTCGATTCCTGCCAACCCTGACAAAGTCATATTTTATTTTTATATTTGCATACCTGGGTAGATATTCAGTGGGATCACATTGTAGATTAAAAATTTTTTTTAAAAACTTGTATTTATTATTTTGCTTGAAAGAGTTACACAGAGAGAGAGAGAGGTCTTCCATCTGATAGTTCACACCCAATTGGCTGCAACAGCCGGAGCTGCGCCAATCTGAAGCCAGGAGCCTCCTCCTGGTCTCCCACGCGGGTGCAGGGGCCCAAGGACTTGGGCCATCTTCTACTGCTTTCCCAGGCCATAGCAGAGAGATGGATCGGAAGTGGAGCAGCCAGGTTTCGAACCAGTGCCCATATGGGATACTGGTGCTTCAAGCCACGGTGTTAACCCGCTGCGCCACAGTGCCGGCCCTAAAAAATTTTTAAAGGCTTATTTATTTTGAAAGTGTTACAGAGCAGAGTGTGTGTGTGTGGTGGGGGGGGTTCTTTGATCCACTGATGTACTCCCCAGGTTTCCACAAGGGCCAGGGTAGGGCGAGGCTGAAGTCAGGAGCTTCTTCTGGGTCTCCCATGTAGGTAACAGGGCCCCATACACTTGGACCATCTTCCGCTGCTTTTTCTAGGCCATTAGCAAGGAGCTGATAAGTGGAGCACTCGGGACTCAAAACTGGTGCCCATATGGGGTGCTGGCGCTGCAGACAGCAGTTCAGCTTACTGAGCCACAGCACTGGCCCCTTAGTGAAATTTCCTAAAAGGAAGCTTCTAAGTGTGACTGAGTGAAACCAGAATTTGAACCTAGGCACTTTGATGTGTGCATCCCAAGCAGCATCTGTGCCAGATATCCTCCTCTAAACTTGTATTAAGAATCTAAGGCCTGTATTTTTAATAGGTGAATTAGAATAGATTGAATGGAAAATATGTAGTGTTTACAATAAAATAACCTTAGGTTAAAAAATACTTTTTTAAAGGTTCTCTTGTGCTCTTTTCTTTTTTTAAGATGATTTATTTATATAAATAAAGGCAGAAGGACAGAGGGCCAGAGATCTCCCATCAGCTGGGCCACTCCCCAAATGGCTGCAACAGCTGGAACTGGGTTAGGCCAAAGCTGAGAGCCAAGAATTCCATCTGGGTCTCCCATGTGGGTAGCAGGGAACCAAGCACTTGAAACATCCTTCCCAGGCACATTAGCTACTGTCCAGCAACCAGGACTTGAACCAGCACTCCCATGTGAGATACTGGAGCCATAAATAGCTGTTTAACACAGTGCACCACAGTATAGGCCCTTGGGTTTAAATTTCTAATCCAGTTTTGTTTTATAATCATACCTCTTGGGGCTGGTGCCATGGCGCAGTGGGTTAATTCTCCACCTGCGGTGCCAGCATCCCATGTGGGCACCGGTTCTAGTCCTGGATGCTCCTCTTCTGATCCACCTCTCTGCTATGGCCTGGGAAAGCAGTGGAGATGGCTCAAGTGCTTGGGCCTGTGCACCCGCGTGGAATACCCAGAAGAAGCTCCTGGCTTCGGATTGGCTCAGCTCCTGCCATTGCAGCCATTTGGGGAGTGAAACAGCAGATTGGAGACCTTTGTCTCTCCCTTTCACTGTCTATAACTGCCTCTCAAATAAATAAATAAAGTCTTTTAAAAAATCATACCTCTTAATAGTTGCATAATTGTACATAATGCCAAGTTAACTACATTTGTCAAACTCCCCTTAATTTTTGGGTGCAAATCTAATAGTATTTTGAAAACAGAAATATAAACTATTAAATCAGCATAACAAAAAAGACTTTTTCTTCTGATTTATATTAACATCAGTTCATTTTCTCTTTGAACAGATGATGAATAAGGTATTTGGAGGTACTGTGCACAAAAAAAGTGTTAGAGAAGATGGAGTCTTCAACATTAGTGTGGATAATACATGCTCATTATTCAGGTATTTTTTTTTTAGGTTAATAAAGAGGTTAACGTTGGTACTGTTATGCATCAAAACTGGAGATATCTATAATTCATAAACTAAATTAGGTTCATAGTATTGGCCAGAGGTATAGTTGTCAGATTTGCCTTCCATTTAAATGTCGAGACAGTAGAGAATGGTGGTGATGCTCCTTAAGAATAAGGATGGTACTCACATAGTAACCTAAAAGCACAACATCTGTGCATTGGTGGGAATGTTTGGAATTGCTCGTTCTCATGCCAGCATTTATTGTTTCCCTTCTCACTGTTTGGAGTGTAATTTTTAAACATTGGTGTGCTAGATGTGACAAATGGTTAATGTTTCAAACTGTCCTTTGAGTATAATATTCATGGATAAATATGTTTGCCTACTAACTTCTTCCTGGATATTTGTAACCTATCCCTTTGCTGTAATCAGTACTAAATGAGTGTATTATTCCCTTCTTTCTCACTTTTTCTACATTGAGGTATAATTGTATCTTGGTGTACAGTCTTTTTAATATAATGAAAGCATTTTTATTGCTGGTGGTAAAAGATTCTGTAGCTCAAATCTGTTTAAAAATTGATGCATAAACTGTTAGCTTCTTGGAAGCATTGATCTTTTGCTTTGTTGAGAAAAAACTAAAATGTCCTAAAGTTTGTATTATTATTTTCTTTAAGATATATTTATTTTATATGAAAGGTAGAGTTATAGGCAGAGGCAGAGGGAGAGGGGGAGGGGTCTTCCATCCACTGATTCACTCCCCCAGATGGCTACAACAGCTGGAGCTGCACTGATTTGAAGCCAAGAGCTTCTTCTGGGTCTCCCAAGCGGGTGCAGGGTCCCAAGGACTTGGGCCATCTTCCACTGCTTTCCCAGGCCATAGCAGAGAGCTGGATCAGAACTGGAGCGGTCGAGACTCGAAATGGTGTCCATATAAGATGCTGGCACTGCAGGCAGCAGCTTTACCTGCTATGCCACAGTGCTGGCCTCTGTTTTATGTTTTTTAGTCACTTAATTTGTTTGTTTTTTTTTTTGAGGATTTTCTTTGCTTTATGTAAAGTCCACTTGATGGTAGAGTTTTTAACCTAAATTTCATTTTAAAACCACTTTTTCTCCTAACTGTATTATGCCTATAAAAATATGGGTTGATACGAATTAGTACATGAAGTTACTTTTTCTTTTAAGATTTATTTATTTATTTGAAAAGTAGAAAGAGGGAGAGACAGATCCTCCATCCACAGGTTCTCTCCCAAAATGGCTGTAGTGATTGGGGCTGGACCAAGAGGAAGCCAGGAACCTGGAATTCCATCCGAGTCTTTCACAGAGGTATCAGGAGCCCCAATTACTTGGGCTATCTTCCAGGGTCTGGATTTGCAGAAAGCTGGCATTAGGAGTTGGGAATTGAACCCAGACACTTGAGAGTGAGACGTTAAGGGTAGTAAATACAAGGCTAACCACCTACTCCCCTATAACATAACAGCTCCATTGATTAGTATCTAAATTAATTTTTAATGGTTTATTCCAAAATGGATAGATCAGAAATTTCAAGATGCAACCCATGAACTTATTTTTGTCTAAAATGCAGAGTCAAAGGGTCTTCAGCATGTTCACGAGGGTCTGGCATTATGGTATAGTAGGTAAAGCCACCACCTGTGACACCAGCATCCCATATGGGTGCCAGTTCCAGTCACGGCTGCTCTACTCCAGTCCAGCTCCCTACTGATGTCCTGGGAGAAACAGCAGAAGATGGCCCAGTGATTGGGCCCCTGCACGCACATGGGAGACTTGGATAAAACTTTTGGCTTCGGCCTGGCCCAGCCCTGGCTATTGGGGCCATTTGGGTAATGAACCAGAGGATAAGAGATCTCTCTGTCTCTCTCCCCTTCTCACTTTGTAACTCTGACTTTCAGATAAATAAGCAAATCTTTAAAAAATTTATGGAAAATTTGTCTGATGAAAGCAAACATGGGCTTAAAATACTTTGCATCAAATAAACTTATTTCCATGAACTTTTGAAGTATCTTTGTATAATTTTTTTTTAACACAAAACTGGCTGTGACTGGTTCTTACTGTCGATGAAGGGCCAAAATAAGTAGTTGATCTTTTTTTAAAAAATTCTTTTTTTTTAAAGGAAGACTAATAAAAATATAAGCCAAAATTGTTCAAAATATTTTTAAAAACTGAAGTCACTCATTGCTAAAGTTCATTACAAGTCCAGTGTTTATTTCACTCCATCATGGAGAAGAGATGTTGATGCTTATATTCACTTTTCTTCAAGTGACTTTGAGAATTGCTTCAGGAATCTTATGTGATCTAGTTAAAATTTTTTTTCTTTGTCTTTCTAGTTTTAAAATTCTAGGATTCCTTCACAACCTACATTATTCTTAACAATAATAACAATAGCAAAACACCAGAATATCTTTTTGGCATTAATGTACCTTCTGGCTTTCTTTTCTTTTTAAAGTTTATCTTATTTGAAAGGCAGAGAGAAAGGGAGCACAAAGTTCACTCCCTTAATGCCTGCAACCACTAGAGCTGGGCTGGGCCAAAGCCAGGAGCCAGGAATTGAATCTGTATTCGAATATCTCAAATGAGTGGCAGGAACTCAACTACTTGAACCTGCTGCCTCCCAGGGTGCATCAGCAGGAAGCTGGAATCAGGAGTGGAACTGGGACATCTTAGGTGGTATCCTAACCTCCAAACCAAACATTCATCCATCCTTTATTTTTAATGTATGTTTTTGAACTTTAGAGTTATTTAATGTCAAGTTCTCATTATGTAAAATAATCTTTTTATGGTTGAATTGTTCATATCAGCATGTAGAGAAAGTCCACATATTACATTTGAATTAATGCTAAGTCTCTCAATCTGTAAATGCTCCCCTTCCTCATTTCTTAATTAAATGTTATTAATTTGTTCAACACTAGAGGTCCACATCGCTACTGGGTTGTCACTGTTTTTAGGACTTTTCAGTGAACAGAGTTGGCAGTGGCTGTTTGTGAAATAGAATACCTATTATTGAAAGAGAAAACAGTCATTATGTATACAATTAAAGTAAAAAATTAGAGTTTTTACTTCTTTGATATCCTGTCTCCTTACATTTAAACTAAAAAAGTTGTAATTACTAATTACATTGTTTTAACCTAAAGTATGACTATATCTGTAGTACATTGATGCAGAGTTGCAATATACAGTTCAGTATTATGCTGGCATAAAGTTACAGGTGTAATACTGGTAATTGAAGTGTTAAGGTCTTTAAAATGCAAGATTCTTAAATCACAATAGAGATACAGTGTTGACATTATTTTGTGATTTCTTGAAGTTATTCTTTCTGTGTATAATTTTACTACCAGCTTAATATATTTATTGTTATTTAATTTTTTATGGATTATGTTTCTGAGATTTAATATTCTTTTATTGACTTTATTTATAAGAAAATAAATTTAAATTCTAATAATATTATACTGTTCCATACTTTTTTCTATTTTGTAATTTATTTGTAAGGCAAATTTGTATTCCTAAAGGAAAAAAACCCATCAATCACGTTTTTAATTAGGAAATTTGTGTGTGTGTTTTTTTTTGTTTTTTTTTTTTTGTTTTTTTTTTATGTCTTAGGGGTCTTCAGAAGGAAGAAATTGTTTTGCTTACGCATGGAGACAGTGTAGACAAAGTAGCTGATGGATTCAAGGTTGTGGCACGTTCTGGGAACATTGTAGCAGGTGAAAACTAAAATCTTTGCAAAGTTCACTAAAATATATATGAAGATTAAACGTGTTTAAATGTGGTATTTTGATTTTTCATATTTTTGAAAGATACTGTTAATGTGTTAGGGTCATCTGTTAAGGGAACTTAATTTTAGAAGGATTATCTAGAGGTCTCTTGTTTTGAAATACTTTTTAAAATGTTCATCCTAATATAAGCTCTGAAAAATAAAATACTGCTTTTACAACTCAGGAAAAATTTGAGAACTGCCCATCTTCCTACTATGGTATTTATTTATTTCTTTATTTATTTATTTGAAAGTCAGAGTTAGAGAAGGAGAGGCAGAGAGAGAGAGAGAGGGAGAGGTCTTCCATCTGCTGGTTCACTTCCCAGTTGGCCACAACGGCTGGAACTGTGCTGATCTGGAACCAGGAGCCAGAAGCTTCCTCCGGGTCTTCCACGTGGGTGCAGGGGCTCAAGCACTTGGGTCGTCTTCTGCTGCTTTCCCAGGCCATAGCAGAGAGCTGGATCAGAAGTGGAGCAGCCAGAACTGGAACTGGCTCCCATATGGGATGCTGGCACTGCAGGTGGCAGCTTTACCTGCTACACTACAGTGCTGGCCCCAGTATTTATTTTTAATTGTCTATTGTTATGCTTTTCTTAGGTACACATAGGCATGTCTGTTGGACATATGCCTGACCACTGAAGACATTTTTCTCACCCAGGGTTGGCAAACTGACCCGTGGGTCAAATTATCCTGTGGTATGTTTTTTATGTCCAGAGCTAAGGATGGTTCTTGTGTTATTTAAAGTTTATGATAAAACACAGAGACTGTATGTATCCCATAAAGCCTAAAATATTTACTCTCTATACTTGGCAGAAAGTTTGCTGATCCATCCTCTAAATAATTTTTGTTCTCTACTTTTTGGAGAAATGATAGGGTTTTGATTTGTTTACTGAATTAATATAATTACTGAATTACTGATTAATATAATAATATAAATATTAGTCCTAGAAATCAGTTAAAGAAAAAGATAAGATTATCAGTGTAGCTGTTTTTGAGATGCCATACCTAATAATAAGTTGGAAAAAAATTATGGATAAACTAAATTGAGTAATCTACTTGCAGTTACTTAACAGGCTAATGTGTTAGCTCTTGTAATAGGAATTATCAAAAATGGATTTTACACCAAAAGGGTTTTATTTTGTATAAAAGATAAATAGTGTAGATGGACTTACGCATTTTTATTTATTCAGCATATATTTTTGTACCTACTTTGTGTCAGACAGAATTCTAGGTGTCAAGGATACAGTAATAAAACAAAATCCCCATTTTAATATTGGAAGCAGAGAAGGCAGAGAATACACAAACATAGGGTATGTCATATGTCAGTGTTTATATTGAAAAGAAAAAGTTAGGCAGGTGTTTGATTAGAATTGCTACTATGCTTAATTAGAGTTGTTACTATTTTATATGGGATAGTCTGGAGATGTATTATAAGATGGCACTGGACCTAAAGAAAGCACTGAACTGTATCTGTGTGCTTGGGAGAAGAGGAAATAAGCCATGAGGCCATATTAGAGGAACAGCAAGGAAATGTCATGATTGGAGCAGTGTAAGCCTGGGAGAGTATAGAAGATAAAGTATTTCAAAAAGTTTGTGGAAAATGGAATAAAAACATGTTTATTTTGGTGTAGACATTTTTGAAATCCATAAAAATCTTTTTTTTAATTATATGCAATTTTCCATGAACTTCTGAAAGACCCTGTATACTGGAGACCAGAGCACAGGAACATTGAGCCATTGTAAACTTCAGACAAAAGAGAGGTGTGATCCAGTGAAGAGAAAAGAAACAAGACCAAAGATTGAAGCAGGAAGAAGAGCTAGTAATGTATTTTAGTAATCAGTAGAGAGACAGTGTTGTCTGGACCAGGGTGGTAGAAGTGGTAATAATAAGGAATGATTGGATTCTGATACCTTTTGAAGGGAGAGACAGAATACTCTTGGATAGAATGCAAGTGGGAAGACAAAGTAAAATCAAGTTTTAACTCCCATGTTTTCTGGTCTGAACAGTTGGAAAGACAAAGTTTCTGTTCACCTGATGGGACAGACTAGGACTGTGTGTTGCATACTGAATTTAAAATGGTTTATGAAACATCAACATGAAGGTGGCTATGTGTATGTCTGCATTTTATCTAAAGGGGAAAACGGGGCTGGAGGAAGAGGATTGCCCAGCATTTGAGATCAGGAGAGTTTCAGATCATTTGGAATGTGTAGAGAATTGATTTAAAGGCTAAGTGCTGACTGAATTCCATATGTAGAGCTGGGCAAGATGAGGAAGAATCAGAAGGACCAGATAGTAAAATAAGAACGGAATCAATCAAGAGAATGGAATTCTGGAAGCCAAATAAAGAAATGTGAGATACCCTGATAGTGTACAATGACTATGAATTTGGGAGCCTGCCAGGCCTGATTCTTTATACTTTGTCTTTGTATCTCAGAGCCATAAAATAGGGAAAATATTTTTATGTGCACATGTAAAACATCTAACAACTGCTGCTTAATAATTGTCAGAAACACATTAGTCAAACAGATGATGTTATGCAAAAAATATATTATCCAAGAAGGAAAACAGTTTGGTATATAAATTCATTTCATGTAGGAAATTGGTTGCTGCACATTGCATGTGAAATCCTTATGGGCCAGCGCCGCAGCTCAACAGGCTAATCCTCCGCAGGGCGCCGGATTCTGTCCCGGTTGCCCCCCTTCCAGGCCAGCTCTCTGCTGTGGCCAGGGAGTGCAGTGGAGGATGGCCCAAGTGCTTGGGCCCTGCACCCCATGGGAGACCAGGAGAAGCACCTGGCTCCTGCCTTTGGATCGGCGCAGCGCGCCGGCCGCAGTGGCCATTGGAGGGTGAACCAACGGCAAAGGAAAACCTTTCTCTCTCTCTCTCTCTCTCTCTCTCTCTCTCACTCTCTCACTGTCCACTCTGCCTGTCGAAAAAAAAACAGGAAGAAAGGACGACAAATACGTCACCAAAAAAAAAGAAATCCTTATGGGACTGAGAACGAAAATGAGAGTGAAATCTCTGTGTAGGACTTAACTGCACCATTCTGTAGCTCATTACTTATTATATTAAGAGATCTTTGAAAAAATCGATTATGGCAGTGGAGCTTTTATTTGTATTATATATTCTTCCATTGTAGCTAAAACCAACTGCTTGTAGCAGTTTCAACAGTTACAGAGGAAGAAATTGTGAGATATTGTGTGTATTGGTTGAGTCTTTTTCAGCATGAAAAAATTTTAATTTGTGATTGTTTTCTTTGTAAAGGTATTGCAAATGAATCTAAAAAGTTATATGGAGCACAGTTCCACCCTGAAGTTGGCCTTACAGAAAATGGGAAAGTAATACTGAAGAATTTCCTTTATGATATAGCTGGATGCAGCGGGACCTTCACTGTGCAAAACAGAGAACTTGAGTGCATTCGAGAGATCAAAGAGAGAGTAGGCATGTCAAAAGTTTTGGTAAGCAGTTTATCATCTGGAAGTCTACAAAATTGTGTCAATAATGTTGGGACCCAGAACTGGATTCCTCAGTGTAACCCATAAATATTGACTGGGTAAACATACACTTTGTTTATTGCACTGTTATATAGTGGTTTTTCGGATATGCTACATACCTTTGACATAAATAATGCCTTATGGTAATGAGTTAAGCTGCCAGTTTTATATTTTTTAGCTTTTCTACTCAGTTTTTTTTTTTCCCATTTCATTTTACCCTGTAGGTTTTACTCAGTGGTGGAGTAGACTCAACAGTTTGTACAGCTTTGCTAAATCGTGCTTTGAACCAAGATCAAGTCATTGCTGTTCACATTGACAATGGCTTTATGAGAAAACGAGAAAGCCAGAGTGTTGAGGAAGCCCTCAAAAAGCTTGGAATTCAGGTCAAAGGTATTGGTGAACCCTAGAAAAGTTAATTTATTAATCAGCAGTTGTTCGGTCAGATCTAACAGTTAACCCCATAAGCTCGTGGTTGGAAATTTATTTTTATTTTTACATCACAGTTGCTTCTAGTTCAAGAAGGGTCTCAGTATAGCTTTTCAAATTGCTGATTACTAATAATGTTATACTTAGATTGATGTTATTTTCAGTTATTATTATATTCTGTTCTCTGGTGATAAGGCAGTCTTTTCCTACCCCATTTCATGTTATCTATGGGTGACAATACCCAAGACTTCTACAGTGGATATGGATATATAGATTATCTTGCAGACAGAAAAGCTTGTGTAGAGAAGGGGGAGTGAGGAGTCTGTAGTCACATTTTTTTTAAGGCCAGTAAACTGTTTTTCTTCTTTTTTAAAAGATTTACATATTTGCAAAGCAGAGTTTCAAAGAGAGAGACAGAGAAGCAGGGGAGAGAGGGAGTGAATCAAAATTGATCTATATTCTGTTTGTTGGTTCATTCACCAAATGGCCACAACAGCCAGATGAGGCTAGGCTGAAGCCAGGAACTCCATCCAGGTCTCACATATGGGTGGCTGGGACTCAAGCAGTTGAGGTGTCTTCTGCTGCTTCCCCCGCATGTTAGCAAGGAGCTGGATCAAAAGGGGAGCAGCCTGCACTCAAACCCATACTGTGATATGGAATGTAGGCATTCCAATTCGCAGTTTAACTCAAAACTTCTCCACAACACCCGTCTCACTAGTAAACTTCTTAGTCCATTTGTATCTATTTTTGTTTTGTTTTAAGATGTATTATTTGAAGGAGTTAGAGAGAGAGAGAGAACTTTCGTACACTGCTTGACTCCACAGATTCCACATATGGCCACAATGGCCAGGCCAAAGCCAGGAGCCAGGAGCTCCTTCCAAGTCTCCCATGTTATTGGTAGGGGCCCAAACACTTGGGCCATTTTCCACTGCTTTTCCCAAGCCATTAGAAAGGTGGATCAGAGGTGGAGCAGCTGGGATATGAGCTGGTGCCCATATGGGATGCCAGCGTTGGAGGCGGCAGTTTATCCACCGTGCCACAGTGCCAGCCATTTGTAACTGTCTTTTATACTTTCTAAAAATAGTGTGATTAATAATTACATTGAAATCAGGTAATTTAATGATATAAATTGTACATATTTTTAATGAGAATTGATGCCAAAGGAAGATGTAAGATGAAGACTTGTGAGTAAACATGAAGTGAACATGAGTCTGTTGCTCCCTGGGAAACTTCGCTAAAATAACAGTAGAGGCACAGATCAAGTGTAATGCTACAAGGATAAGGAATAGAGGAGGTGATAGCAGACAGATGATTTCAACAAAATGTTAAAAGGTGGAAACAGATGGATAAGGTGGATTTTCTCTGGATTGCTCATGAAATTGAAGGTTCAGAGTCTATCATTAGCCAGGTCTCTTCAGATATCCAAGGAAGGAACTTAGAAGTATCTTCACATGGCCGAATGGTTTTATGATATTTGCAAGTAAGATATTTATAGTTTGTCTTTCCACTGCAGCTTGCTCTTTGTCAGGTCCTGTTGGAGACTGAGTGTTGGCTTTTTAGGATCAGAAATAAAAAGTTGAATCATGGAATATATTTAGTTTGTATGTAATGGTATATATTTGAAATCATTAAAAGTCTGTGGTTAAGTTATTGTTAGCTATCCCAGTATAACTTAATATTTTTAAAATATCATATTTGTTACTGTGTTTTTTTTACCCATGTTTGTACCTTCCAACATTTTGCTGGAGTGTTCATGTTGTAAAAGTTTCAACCCCACATAAACCTTGTTAACTGGCATAGTAGAGTGGAGGAATTCAAAACCTTGGGCTGGGAATGGGAAGGAAGCCAACAAAAATTAAGTTAATCTATGCTTTAGACTTCTGGGGAAAATTAGGAATTGGAAGCATTGGGTTCCTTTTATAGCTCCTAGGGTGAGCCTAAAACAGATTGAAAATCTGAGATTACCACCACCACCACCCTCCTTTTAAGATTTATTTATTTATCTGTTTGAAAGACAAAGTTACATAGAGGCAGAGGCAGAGAGATGGAAAGGTCTTCCATTCACTTGTTCACTCCCCAGATGGCTGCAATGGCCAGAGCTGTGCCAAGCTGAAGCCAGGAGCCAGGAGCTTCTTCCCTGTCTCCCCTGTGGGTGCAGGGGCCCAAGTCTTGGACCATTTTCTACTGCTTTCCCAGTCCATAGCAGAGAGCTAGATTGGAAGTAGAGCAGCCAGGATTCGAACCAGCGCCCATATAGGATGCCAGCACTGCAGGTGATGGCTTTACCCGCTAAGCCACAGTGCTTTTTTAAACACAAGAACAAACTGCTCTTCCTCCTCATCATAAGACTGTGGGGTTTATTCTCTAGAGGGGTTAAACCAGAAAGGTTCTGAACTTGGACCTAGCAATATTGACACAGTTGGAGGGTAGAGGTAAGATTGTACATTAAGAACAGAATTAAGTAAAAATCTCTGTACTGAATGGTGAGTTCTCTGCACCACTTCCTCTGTTCATCTATGAGAAAGCTGATTGGCAGGAAACTGGAGGTGTCTTCTTTGGTGTAATTGACCAGCTTAAGGGAAACACTTACAAATTCACTAATGGTTCCCCAGTGAAACACCCAGATAGATGCCTTACCATCTAACAGTAAAATCTAGTAGTAGTTGAGCCTTACTACTAAGTAGAGATCTTGGTTTTTACTTCTTCATCCTTAAATACAAAAGGACAACAATGTATCACTAAACCTATGTCCATACAGGATCAGTTTTTCAAGAGACTGATTAGTGTGCAGTTCAGAGGACTTAGATTTTGTACAGGTGAACCACTGCTTTAGACTGCCTTGGGACTGCTTCTTGCTCTAGCTTTTGTGTTCTGGTGGAGCACTGAACAGAGCATGGTTCTTGATATTCTGGCCCTAGGTTATTAAATGCCTTGGGAACCTCAGAAGAACAAAATTCCATGAATATATGTACTTGAACTCTGTTACTCATGCTTTATTGATAGTTCTGGAATATGTAGGCAGATTTACATGGATCAAAGAATCCATTAGGTTTTTTCTCTGTAGGTTCAGTTCTTGTTTGGTTTTTTTCTTAAATCTTCTATTAATTTAATATATTTCTCCTTTTCCCTAGTAATAAATGCTGCTCATTCTTTCTACAATGGAACAACTACTCTACCGATATCAGATGAAGACAGGACCCCTCGAAAAAGAATTAGCAAAACATTGAATATGACTACAAGTCCCGAGGAGAAAAGAAAAATCATTGGAGATACTTTTGTTAAGGTACCTTTCTTTTTAATTATTTGACAGGTGCAGGTTCTGGGGGAGGGGTTGGACAGAATGAGAAGAGAGGGAGAGCTCTGCCTTCTGATGTTCCAGTCTTCAAATCCAGGGCCGAGATAATGGCTGGACTGAAGCCAGGAGCCTGGAAACTCAGTCTAGGTCTCCCACATGGGTGGCAGAGACCCAAGGACTTGAGCCATCACTGCTGCCTTCCCAGAATCTGAATTAGCAGGAAGCTGGAACCTCGGTTGTTGAACCCAGGTGCTCTGACATGGGACAGTCATCTTAACACACTTAATTGTTAGACCAAACACCTGCTCTGATACCTTAGTTTTTATTTTTATTTTTAAATATTTATTTATTTATTTGAAAGGCAGAGTTACCGAGAGGCAGAGATGGAGAGAGGGAGAGAGAGATGTCTTCCTTCCGCTGGTTCACGTCCCAAATTGCTTGAACAGCCGGAGCTGGGCCGATCTGAAGCTAGGAATTTCTCCCAGGTCTCCGCGTGGGTGCAGGGGCCCAAGGACTTGGGCCATCCTCTCTACTGCTTTCCCAGGCCATAGCGGAGAGCTGGATCAGAAGTGGAGCAGGTGGGATTCGAACCAATGCCCACATGGGATACCGGCACTGCAGGCTGAGGCTGTACACACTACACCACAGCGCTGGCCCCACTGTTTTTGTCTTTAATATCCTCACTGTGTACTACAAGGGGTCTGCAAAATGTTTACCAAAAGAATGCATGTATGAAAAAATTATGTGTGAATTTAAAATGTTTGCACCAAAATAGATTTGCCCTTTAATTACATTTCTACAAACCGTTTGTGAATCTTATTTTTTTTTTACCATTATATCAAATAACTAAATGTTCTAATTTTGATTTCTTAACTTGCAGCTGAAAATGCTACTGTGTATTGTTTACTAATTTGTAGAAACTTTTATTTTTAAAAACGTGTATTTGTTGCTAGGTTTTTTTTTTTTTTCTGTCTTCGGTTGGTACTAGACTTTAATTCACTTAGTGCTGGCGCCGCGGCTCACTAGGCTAATCCTCCGCCTAACGGCGCCGGCACACCGGGTTCTAGTCCCGGTCGGGGCGCCGGATTCTGTCCCGGTTGCCCCTCTTCCAGGCCAGCTCTCTGCTGTGGCCAGGGAGTGCAGTGGAGGATGGCCCAGGTGCTTGGGCCCTGCACCCCATGGGAGACCAGGAAAAGCACCTGGCTCCTGGCTCCTGCCATCCGATCAGCGTGGTGCGCCGGCTGCAGCGCGCCGGCCGCGGCGGCCATTGGAGGGTGAACCAACGGCAAAGGAAGACCTTTCTCTCTGTCTCTCTCTCTCACTGTCCATTCTGCCTGTCAAAAAAAAAAAAAAAAATTCACTTAGCATCTCGGTGACTACATTTCAAGTTCTTTTTTTTTTATTTATTTATTTGAGAGGTAGAGTTACAGACAGAAAGGTTTTCCATCCGCTGGTTTACTCCCCAATTGGCCGCAACAGCCGGAGCTCTGCTGATCTGAAGCCAGGAGCCTGGATGTTCCTCTGGGTCTCCCACACAATGCAGGGGCCCAAGGACTTGGGCAACCAGGCTATAGCAGAGAGCTGGATCGGAAGTGGAGCAGCCAGGACTCGAACCAGAGCCAATGTGGGAATGCTGGCGCCACAGGCAGAGGATTATCTTACTGCGCCACAGCTCCAGCCTCTCAAATTCTTAAAAAGAGTGGTCACCATACTTTTTTTTTTTTTTTAAAGATTTATTCTATTTTTTTGAAAGAGTTAGAGAGAGAGGTAGAGCTATAGAGAGAGAAAGAGGTCTTCCATCTGCTGGTTCACTCCCCAAATGTCTGCAATTGCCAGAGCTGAGCTGATCCAAAGCCAGGAGGCAGGAGTTTCTTCTGTGTCTCCCATGTGGGTGCAGGAGCCCAAGGACTCGGTCCATCTTCCACTGCCCTCCCAGACCATAGCAGAGAGCTTGATTGGAAGTGGAGCAGCCAGGACTCGAAGAGGTGCCCATGTGGGATGTCGGTGCTGCACACCAGTGCTTTAACCTCCTGTGCCACAGTGCCAGCCCCTTACTATAGCTTTTTGAATGATGTTAAAGCATTTTTTAAAAAACATATTTATCCATTTATTTGAAAGGCAAAGTTACAGAGAGAGAGGAAGAGACAGATTTTCCATCTGCTGATTCAGTCCCCAAAATGGCCACAACAGCCAGGGCTAGGCCAGTCTAAAATCAGGAGGCACGAGCCTCTTGCCAGTCTCCCATGTGGGTGCAGGGGCCCAAGCACTTGGGCCAAGTTCCGCTGCCCTCCCAGTTGCATTGTCAGGGGGCTGGATCGGAAGTGGAGCAGCCAGGACTTGAACACGTGTGAACACGTGCCCACATGGGTGTCAGAATTATAGGCGGTGGCTTTATCCTCTATGCCGCAGCGTGACCCTAGCATGCGTTCTTAAAATTTTTATTTTGGGGTTGGTGGATTTCATGTCCTGGTCAGTGTTGGCAGAAGGACTCAGAAATTTGAGTGAAAGTGTAAAATTTTGCTTTTTAAAAAGATTTATCTCTTAGAAGGCTGTTTTACTCCTCTTGGTTACAGATTGCCAATGAAGTGATTGGAGAAATGAACCTGAAACCAGAGGAGGTTTTCCTTGCTCAAGGTACTTTACGGCCTGATCTCATTGAAAGTGCATCACTCATTGCAAGTGGCAAAGCTGAATTGATCAAAACCCATCACAATGACACAGAACTTATCAGAAAGCTGAGAGAAGAGGTAAAAGCTGATGAGAACTTTTCCATAAAGCAGATTCACAGAGAACCTTCTTCCCTGTCTTTTCCTTCTTCCCTCCACTGTTCACAGGGTTGTGCAGCTGTTTTCATTACATGAGTAGGGAACCTCACACCTTCCTCCCAGCCCTGCCCAACCAGCAACCACTAATTTATCTTTTGTCTATATTACCCATTCTGGACTTTTTTCTATAGAACAGAATCATAATGTACAAATTTTAGAAAGTGATTGGCTTCTCTTAACCGTAATTTTTCTAGGTTCACCCATGTTGTAGCACTTATTTATTTATTCCTTTTGACTGCCAAACAATATTTCATTATATGGATATTCCACTTCTATCTATCAATTGATAGACCTCCCACCTGCAGGTTGCTTCCAGTTCTTGGCTGTTATAAGTAATGTTGCTATGAGTCCTGGTTAAAAGTTTTGTGGAAGTGTGTTTTCATTTTGTTGCTGTATACCTTAGGAGTAGCACTGCTAGGTCTTATGGGAACTCTGTTTTTCATTTTGAACTATCAGACTGTAGGCAAAGTAACCCCACCATATTAAATTCTCATCAGCAGTGTGTGAGGATTCCAATTTTCACCATTCTTTTTTTTGGGGGGGAGGTGGTAGGGAGCTAAAAAACAACATAAAATTTACCATCTTAACCATTTTTTTAAGATTTATTTTTATTTATTTGAAAGGCAGTTACAGAGAGAGAGGTCTTCCATCTGCTGGTTCACTCCCCAGATGGCCACAACGGCCCGAGCGGAGCCAGTCTGAAGCCAGGACCTTCTTCCAGGTCTACCACATGGGTGCAGGAGCCCAGGTATTTGAGCTGTCTTCACTGCTTTGCCAGGCCATAAGCAGAGAGCTGGATCAGAAATAGAGCAACCAGGGCCCACTTGGAGCAACGCCCATATGGGATGCTGGCACTACATGCCGCAATGCCAGCCCCCGTTGTAACCATTTTTACATGTATATAGTTCATCTTGCAAAACTGAACCTCTGCTTATTAATAGCAATTTCTGGCAACCACCATTCTATTTTTTGTTTCTATATATGTGACTGTTTTAAATTCCCCATATAAGTGGAATAATACAGTATTACCATTTTGCAACTGATTGATTTTACTTAACAGTGTTTCCAGGGTTCATCCTTGTAGTGTGTGTGACAGAATTTCCTTTCTTTTTATGACTGAATCATAGACTCTTGAATGTATATATCACATTTTATTTATTCATTTACTTACTGATGGACATTTGGGTTGCTTCCACCTTTTGGCTATTGTGAATGATGCTGCTGTGTGCTAGTGTAATGCAAACAGCTATTCAAGGTACTGCTTTCAGTTCTTTTGCATATTTACTCAGAAGAGGATTGCTAGACCATAATGCAGGTCTGTTCTTACGTTTTTGTGAAGAGCCTCCGTGGGGTTTTCTTTAGAAGTTGCTTCATTTTCTAGTTCAACCACCAGAACACAAGTGTTCTAATTTCTGTATTTCCTTAACCACAATTTGTTATTTTCTTTTTCTGTCTTTTTTTTTTTTTTTTTAATAGCAGCTGCTCTGATGGATCTGAATTATAGGGTGTTGTGTATGAATTATCTTTATTTTAGTTCTGTATGTGAAGATATTTCTGGTTTTTATTATGTATTTCCTTAATAGCTGATGCGTTTGAGCATCTTTTCATGTGCTTATTGGCCATTTGTTTATCTTGGAGAAATTCTGTTCATTTCCTTTGTTCATTATTAAAATTGGCTTATTTATCTTACTGAGTTGTAAGTGCTCTTGATAAACATTCTGTTTATAAGTCTTTCCCTAACTGCGTGATTTGTAAATATTTATTTTTTGATTAATGTATTATGCTTTTCTATTTTTCTGGGGTGTTGTGTGCTACGTTAACACATGTATATGGCATAAACTGATCAAACAGTATTTGTTCCTCCCTATTTTTCTTTATATTTGGAGCCTACCAGCTCCTTTCCTTCAGTTATTCATAAGATGGCACTTGCCCTGTATGCTGTTGAGAACTAGATCATTGATAGTGCATTAGTTTACCCTGACTTACTCAGATTTAAAGGGTTTCTGTTTAAAATATTTCAGAGAATATCACTAAAATATTAATCCAACTCCTTGCAAGCACATAAGAATAACACTTTAAAAGTTGCATTTTTAAAAACAAATTTATAGGCTGGCGCCACGGCTCACTAGGCTAATCCTCCACCTGCAGCGCCGGCATACCGGGTTCTAGTCCTGGTCGGGGCGCCGGATTCTGTCCTGGTTGCCCCTCTTCCAGGCCAGCTCTATGCTGTGGAGGATGGCCCAAGTGCTTGGGCCCTGCACCCCATGGGAGACCAGGATAAGCACCTGGCTCCTGCCTTGGCCATTGAAGGGTGAACCAACGGCAAAGGAAGACCTTTCTCTCTGTCTCTCTCTCTCACTGTCCACTCTGCCTGTCAAAAAAAAAAAAAAAATTATAATTCAAGGAAAACATCAGGAAATGCCAATCATTTATTACCCTTTGTTTTCCAAGTTGTTTTTGTTACTAATTCGTATTCATTGTTTTTTTCCCTTCCCTCCCTATAGGGAAAAGTAATAGAACCTTTGAAAGATTTTCATAAAGATGAAGTGAGAATTTTAGGCAGAGAACTTGGACTTCCAGAAGAGTTAGTTTCAAGGCATCCATTTCCAGGTAAACAATAGAATTGAATGTTGTTTTGATAAGTTTTTAGTCCTTTATGTTTAAGAGAAATCATTTTAAACAATTCTGAAATAACTTGCCAGCTCAGAATATGTCAAGTTAAAAGAATGCATGGTTAAGAAGCAAACATACTATTTGGAATATCTAATGTATTTCATTTTATTAAATGTTTATTTCCTATTGCATTGGTATTTAAGTGGGAGTCTGGCATATATTGTTACCACCAGATGATAAAACCAAGGCATAGAAGTACTTTAATAACACTGCCCACAATTTTTGGTGGTAAAGCTGGGATTTGTCTGATCGATGTTAATGTACTATGATGAGAGAAGTAAGGATTAAAATTTGGTTATCTAAAATCCTTATGCAATGTCTGATTTATCTGAATGAGTGAACCACTTTATTCTTATTAAGATTTTTTAAAAATTTTATTTGAAAGGCAGGGATAGAGAAAGAGGAAGAGACACAAAGAGATTTTCTAGTTGCTCGTTCACTCTTCAGATGGCCACAGCCGCCAGAGTGGGGCCATGCCAAAGCCAAGCTTCATCCCTCTCTCTCATGTTTGTAGCAGAGGCTCCTGCTCTTGGGCTGTCCTCTGCTGCTTTTCCAGGTGTATTAACAGGGAACTGGATCTGCAGTGGAGCAGCCAGGACCAAGTGGCACTCATATGGGATGCCAGTGTCTCAGGTGGAAGCCTTGCCTGTTGCACCACAGTGCTGGCTCCAGGACTAAGAGACTTAACCTGTTTTTGTCACTGATTCTTGAACTTGGGCAAGTCTTTTGCCTTAGTTTCTAGCTGTCTCTAATAGTGATTGGTTGATGATTTGGGAGAACATTCTAATCAAAAACCAAAATAATGACATTTCTTGAGTATTTGTCATGTACTAGGTTTTTTTCTGAATACTTCAAACATTGTCTTATTTGATTCTCACTTTACAAACCAGTATTACACTCTTGGCAGACGAGGAAACTAAGGGACATTAGCTAGTTTGCCAAAGTTACGCAGGCTAGAAGGTGTAGAGCCAGGATTATATCTCTCTGCCTCAACGTTTATACTCTTAACCATCATACTATACTAACTATGCTAACATTATAAACAGTGTTACAAATATGTATACATATACATATATATATATTTACACTCACACACACATAACTGATGTGGTGATTAGTGTGTGTTATCAAACCTAGTATTTAAATCTGGTATTTTAAATCTTTAGTCCCTACCCTGTATGCTGGCAAAGGGTGGAATATAATGTACAAGAGGAGTACTTTACAGGAAGGAGGCCAACTGGTCCTGTGTCCATGGTCATCACTTTGGCTAGATTCATTTGAATTTTTAGTTTGCTTTGTATGTTGGGTTTTCCATCATTTAAGATTTCTGGGAAAAAAGGATTTTGCTGCTTTAAAAGCTACTGATTTAAATAAGCTGTTTATTCTAAAGTTTAGTAATTAATGGACATGGATAAGATTTGCTTATAACCAGGCATTTCAAGTGGTTTAGTAAAACAACAGAATCTGGTGGCTTTTAGAACCATGTGTATTTTGTGTTTTTATCAACTTTTAAAGTATTTGATGAGATGGATGTACCAGTGCACATCTTTTAGAACATTAATTTTTTTTAAAAATTTTTTTAGCAGTGTACTAATTTTCCTAAAATTAGCTTGATAGTTGAGGCTGGACAATGAATAAATTGTGGTTTGTTATATTTTCTCTTTAGCTTTGTGATGTTGGAAAACTCCCTTAATACAAACTTTAAAATTAATTGGCATGTTTGTTGTGAATTAAAAAATACATTTTGGAGAATTTTGTGATACTTAATACATGAACTATAAAGATAGGAGATAATATTCATTTGGAGAGAATTGAAGCATTCCAGAAATGAGTTGGATGAGAAACATAGCTACATTTGTTCATTTTTGGAAGAACTTTATATTTTGGAAATAGTGACTTTTTTAAAATTAAGGTTTTTTTCTGTAAAATATAAAATATAAAATATACTGTTGTTCCTCTTCTCTTTAGGTCCTGGCCTGGCAATCAGAGTAATATGTGCTGAAGAGCCTTACATTTGTAAGGACTTTCCTGAAACCAACAATATTTTGAAAATAGTAGCTGATTTTTCTGCTAGTGTTAAAAAGGTAATAATTTGACGTAGCTAATCAGTACAGGGACTCAAATAGATTCTTAATGAGTTTTTTAGGGTTTCATTATTTGAAAATTCAGAGTAGTATGACTCTTGAATTGACTACTTAAAAGTATTCTACAGATACTTTTAAGGTACAGACTTTCCCTTTTAGCCAAATAAGTGTGGATATTCTAAATCCCTAAAAACACTAAAGAAAGTATTATAATATACTAAGTAAAATAGTTTCAAAATAAAATGATTTATTTAGTATTTTAAAATACTCTTTCATATATATTATGAGGAAGTAAAAGGAATTCTTTGAGTCAAGAATGAATTGAAAGCAGCAGTTCAAAAAGCTACAGCTATCTACTACTATTGAGGGCAGCTACTAATCCCATGTGGTCTAGGGCTCAAACAATTCCATTCATGCATAGATGTCTGAATATGAGGCCTTGGGTCCATGAAGGGCTAGAAATTGGATTAGAGGTGTGCACACTGAGCAATACTTTAGCTCCAAATTCAGGATGAATGAAAAGGTCTTAAATCAATCTGAAAACAGAATTTTTTTAAAAAATAGATCTGTATTGGTAGTGCTTCTAGGAGTCAGGAAAGAAGCGAGGTAAATTCTCTCAGAAATCTTCATTAGGCCCCAAAGAATTCCTGTTGATTAAATTCTAACAAATAAGAACTGATAGATATGTTCTGTAATTTTTGTGTGTGTGGCACCATAAATGAAAGTAGAAATAACGAGCAAAATAAGACCCTCAGAGGCATCAGATACTGTAAAACCAATTTATAAAGTAAATGGAAAGAAAAGAGAGCTATTAATAGTAAGGTACAAGGAACTACTAAAACTGGGTATTTTGAAAAATTTAAGTTTTAGAAATAACTGAAGTTAAAATTAGCCGAAAAGACAATAAATGGGTGTTTAGAAATTGTCCAGGAGTGGGCTTTTGGCCTACTGGATAAGGCACCTGTGTCCCAAATCACAGTGCCTGGGTTTGAAACCCCACTCTGCTGACTCCAGCTTCTTGCTAGTTCAGACTCTGGGAGACAGTGGTAATGACTCAAGTGATTGAGTTCCTGCCACCCATGAGGGAGACCTGATTGAGATCCAGCTTTGACTAGCCTGGAGCTTTTCTGGGTATTTGGAGATTTAATCAGCATATAGGAGTTCTCTGTCTCTGTGCTTTTCAAGTAAAATAAAAAGTCAAAGGTACCAAATATGATCTGCTATAAATAACTAAGTGTACATACCTAAGATAGTAGTAGCTGGCTGGCGCCGTGGCTCATTAGGCTAATCCTCCGCCTGGGGCGCCAGATTCTGTCCCGGTTGCCCCTCTTCCAGGCCAGCTCTCTGCTGTGGCCCGGGAGTGCAGTGGAGGATGACCCAGGTCCTTGGGCCCTGCACCTGCATGGGAGACCAGGAGGAAGCACTTGGCTCCTGGCTTCACTGGCACAGCGCGCCGGCTGCAGCGCACTGGCCGTGGCGGCCATTTGTGGGGTGAACCAACAGAAAAGAAAGACCTTTCTCTCTGTCTCTCTCTCTCTAACTCTGCCTGTCAAAAAAGAAAAAAAATATAGTAGTAGGCAGGGCTGGGCCATTTGGAAACCAGGACCTGGGAACTCAGCCTGAGCCTGCTTTATGAGTGGCAGGAACACATCCACTTCAGCTATTATCTGCTGCCTCCCAGCGTGCCCATTAGCTGGAATCAAAAGTGGAGCTGGGACTTGAACCCAGGCGCTTTGATAGGGGCATGGGATCCCAAGTGATGTCTTAACTGCTATGCCAGACACCACCCCAGAGAACTATTTTAAAGATCTGACTTTGGAAGAAGCAAAAGAATCCCAGAAGAAATATCTGAGATACAAATAGGAATGGGAAGCAAAGAAGATGGTAAATGCATTGTATAAAATAATAAAAATAGCGTCAACTTTTTAATGTTTATTTTAAAAATGTAGCACTATTTAGCTTTAAAAGCATTCAAAGATACTTCTGTTTGCCAGAAGGACAGAGCTTGATTTTATTTTGTTAAGCATTCATATTAATCCTTAAGAACTACTAAAAGAATAGAAAAGGGGGTGGGGAGGGTTAACTCAAAACCAGTAAAGGGGAAATAAATGAGCTGGCAGAAATGATTAATTCAAAAGATGGCAAGAAAGGAGAAAGAAACATAAAAGGTAGGACAAATAGAAATGATAGAATAAAATATTAGAATAAAATTCAGCCATATTATTAAAATAATTAACATTTCTAATAGATTGCCAGACTAGTTAGAAAACTGGAATCTGTTTTGTACAGAGCAGTAAATCTGAAAAATGTAATCTTTTCATAAGTATAATCTTTCACAAGAAGGAATGGAAATAAAAGTTGGAAAAGTAAGTGAAGCTATATTAATTCCAGACAAAACTGATTTTATGGCCGAAAGTATTCGACAGAGGTAAAGTTGTTACTTGCTGGTGACAGGGTAAACTCTTGATGTATGTAAATCTAATCTGTATTTCTTATCCTGAGATTTAGCTTCCTTGTAGTCCTCTTCCTGGGAATAAATTTCTGGAATAGTATATAGTACACACAAGTTACAGAGGTACCAGTGTGACCCAGCTGTCATATTGTACATATATAAAATTATAGTAGATGCCAAGAGAATGGAACCTGAAAAAAATGTCTTTGGTTTTTTTAGCCTCATACATTATTACAAAGAGTCAAAGCCTGCACGACAGAAGAGGATCAGGAGAAACTGATGCAAATTACAAGTCTGCATTCGCTGAATGCCTTCTTGCTGCCAATTAAAACCGTGGGTGTACAGGTGAGATGTGAATCTGTTGACCTGTGACATGGTTTCTGCAGTTTTCTCTTTGTACTAATACTGAAATAGTAATTATTTAGGAAAGTGAAATACAAGAATATGTACAGCATGTTTTGAAAAGCAAAAAGGCAATAATACTTCATAGAATGTTCTTTAAGCCTATGATTATAAAGTAAATCAAAATTATATTGCAAAAATTAAAGGAAAAATGAAGGAGGGGGAATTGTAGGAGGGAGAGAAGTATGATTATCTTAGAAACGTTTCTATGAAATATATGAAATCTGTTCTCTTTTTATTAAAATTAATGGAATATTCAGGCTTAGACTTTATAGTTTTGGAGTACCTGTGAATTCTAATCAAAAGTAAAAATTTAAAAAATCATTTGCTGTGGAGTTGGCTTGAAGTGCAGGTACAAGTACTCATGTCCTCATTTAACACTTCAAAGTGTGAAATATAATGTGATTTTAGCATTTTTTAAATATAAGAAACCCCCTAGATGAATGTATCACACCATTTAGATCATGTATTCCCTATAACAGTGTTTAGTCTCTTCAAAATGCCCTATCTCCCTTAGTCATGAAGAAGTACAACTAATATTTCATATTTATCATTCTGCCTTTCTGATTCATATAAAAGCATGTGAGAATGATATGGTTGTGTTTTAAGTGCTGCTCATATAGTGATCACATTAAATTCTCTCTTATATGATCTGCAGATGAGTTTCTCAGGGGGAAAAAGTTGGGCAGGTAGGGGACAGGAAAAGTTCTTGTTTGTTTTTACAATTCATGGGTAAACAGAAGCTAGAAAAAGTGTCAATAATTCCAACTCAAAATAGTAACTGGCATGAGTGCCAGTTACTAGTTTAATGCCCTGTGTAGAATTATTTGTGGAAGAAATTAACTTTACTGTTTTAGAGATTATTCATCTAAAACTTAAAAAGCGTGTTCTTTTTTCTAGATGTATCAGTCTGTCAGTTTAAATTCCTCCTTTATCTGAGCCCATGTAATTCTGTGGTAAATTCTACTTTTAAACTAAGCCCAAAATATTTAAGTTCCTGGAAATTATCGAGCCAGCTATTTTGGTTACAGAACTCTTGCTTCAGCTTTCTTCCTCTTTAAAGATTTATTTACTTATTTATTTGAAAGGCAAAGCAACAGATCATTCCTTCCATTGGTTCACTTTTCAAATGGCCACACAGCTAGGGCTGGACCAGGCTGAAGCCAGGAGCCAGGAACTTCCAGGTCTCCCATATGGGTGGGAGGGGCCCTAGTATTCCCATCTCCTGCTGGCTTCCCAGGTGCATTACCAGGGAGCTGGATCAGAAGCCAAGTAGCTAGGCCTTGAACCTGAATTCCAACAAGGGATACAATCATTGCAAACGTTGCTTAACCTATGTTGGGCCACACTGGCCCCTCTTTTCTTTTTATTGGCTGCATATATAAACTGCTTGTATTATTTTTAAATCACTGTAGAAATTTTCCTTATTGGAATTGTAGAACTAATTTTTCAGAGGTTTGTGGGTTATTTATCAAAGAGATTCATTTTTGGATTTTTTATGATATTATTTATTTACAGGCAGATATTACCCTACTATAAAAAAAAAAAAAAAAAAGAAGTGTAGACAGGTCAATTAATTCTTTAAAGTTTCCCTATCTTAAGTAGATCTGTTACAGAGAACTTCCACCTCTATGTGGGATCTCCTGCTGGACAGAGTATTAAGTTGAAATAGTTTCTCACTCTCCTTTTAAAAGAAGTATTACAGATAATAGTTAACCAAAAAATAGTTGTTAAGAGTAATATAATTTTCTAATAAGTGATTTCTTCTTGAAAATGAAACTTACTCAGGCTCTACTAGTCTTCCCAATAATATAGTTAAAGTTTTCTTTTGTCATTAGAAAACTATCTTTAGGGGCTGGCGCTGTGGCGCAGTATGTTAATCCTCTGCCTGAGGTGCCAACATCCCATGTGGATGTCGGTTCTAGTCCCAGCTGCTCCACTTCCAGTCCAGCTCTCTGCTGTGGACTAGGAAAGCAGGCTCAAGTCCTTCAGCCCACACCCACATGGGAGACCAGGAAGAAGCGCCTGGCTTCAGATTGGCGCAGCTCCGGCCATTGCAACCATTTGGGGAATGAACCAACGGAAGGAAGACCTTTCTCTCTGTCTCTCCCTCTCACTGTCTGTAACTCTACTTCTCAAATAAAATAAATAAAAATCTTTAAAAAACAATTTAGTCTCTTCGGCCTTTGAAGCTAATACTTTTGCAAGTCCAGATAAAAGTTGTAATTCATAGTTAGTATAGCAATGAAATTTGTTTACAAAATTAAGCCATATTTATAAAATGTCAAAAGACATTAAATTTTCCTAATTCCTACTATCTGGTTAAGTTTTATATGTCTTCCCAGAAACATTAGTTTTAAAAAGAAAAGGAGAGGGAATTACAGATACACATTACTCATCAACTGTTTTCTTTTAACTGAACACTGTGAACTTCATATCATTTTTATGCTCTACAAGTAGTAGATGTTTCTTAAATGTGGCAGAAGAACTGAGAGAGATGGAGAGGATGAGTGTGCTCTCATCTGCCAGTGAACTCCTGGAATGCCCATGTGGCCAGAACTGGGCCGGGCTGAAGCTCGGTGCCAGAAACTCAAACTAGGACTCTGACATGATGGCAGGGGTCCCTGCCACCCAGACAGAGTACACATTAGCAGGAAGCTGGAATTGGGAGCTAATTAGTAGCTGATTCTTTTTTCTTTCTTTCTTTCTTTTTTTTTTTTAAGATTTACTTTATTTATTTGAAAGATTTACACAGAGAGTGGAGAGGAAGAGAGAGAGAGAGGTCCTCCAGATCCGCTGGTTCACTCCCCAGATGGCTGCAGTGGCTGGAACTGGGCTGATCTGAAGCCAGGAGCCAGGAGCTTCTTCCGGGTCTCCCACATGGGTGCAGGGGCCCAAGCACTTGGGCCATCTTCTACTGGTTTCCCAGGCCATAGCAGAGAGCTGGATCGGAAGAGGAGCAGCCAAGACTAGAACCAGTGCCTATATGTGATGCCAGTGCTTTAGGCCAGGGCTTAAACCTGCTTTGCCACAGTGCCGGCCCCAGTAGCTGATTCTTAACTGTTGTTTCATATTCTCATATTTCACATACACCATAACTTATTTAATTATTCTTGTACTAATGGGCACTGCAGTAGTTTTTAGCTTTTCGTTATTGTAGGCATTTCTGCACTTGTGTTTCTGTGGGGTCATTTCCTATATTAAAAAACATTTAAAATTTTTATAGATGCTATGAAATTAATATTCAAATACTTTAATTCTCTGTTCTCATATCTGACATAGACTTCAGATAGTTATCTAATGCATCACTCAATTTTAAATTAAGTTTTTTAACTCATATATAAATAAACTTAAAAGTAAATGTTTATTTTTGTCTCCCACTTAAGGATTTTTTTTTGTCAACTCAATACGTTTGGGCAGATCTTTTCTGCCAAAATAAGTGCTAAATCATTCTAGCTGTCCACTGTTGGACAGGTAGTTGGAATGCAATCTCAGTGGACCTATGACATATGTTGAATACTTGAAATTTCTAAGACACTTTCATGATGTCTGAACTGAATTAGATTTGAGATTTGTTTATATCATTGAAAAAAGCATCTAGTATGTACTTCTATTTGAACTTTATATTCTTGTTTAAAAATGGTTATTAATAGTGTTACTATGGATAAAATCTTTTCAGTCTATCTTTGGACTGCTGTAAAACTTAAAATTGATTATATTTCTGTTTTCAGGGTGACTGTCGTTCCTACAGTTATGTGTGTGGAATCTCCAGTAAAGATGAGCCTGACTGGGAATCTCTTATTTTCTTGGCGAGGCTTATACCTCGCATGTGTCACAATATTAACAGGTGTGTCTGTAGGAAATGGGAGGTGTATGAGTGTAATGGAAGGAATTTTCATTTTTAAGATTTATTTATTTGAAAGAGTTAGAAGGAGGGACATAGAGATCTTTAATCTGCTGGTTGACTACCCAGATGGTCATAATGGCCAATGATGGGCCAGGCCAGAGCCAAGAACCAGGAGCTTCATCTGGGTCTTCCATGCGGATAGCCAGGACCTAAGCACTTGGGCCATCTTCTGCTACTTTCCTTATGCCTTTAGCAGGGAGCTGGATTAGAAGTGGGGTAGCTGAGACATGAACTGGTGCCCATATGTGATGCCGGCATCACAGTTGTTTTTATTCACTACACCATAACGCCAGCCCCAAGGATTTGTTTTCTTATTTATTTGAAAGACAGTTACAGAGAGAGGTAGAGCCAGAGAAAAGGAGAGAGGTCTCCATTCTGCTGGTACACTCGACAAATGACTGCAGCGGCCAGAACTGAGCTGATCCAAACCCAGGAGCGAGGAGCTGCTTCTGGATTTTCCACGTGGGTGCAGGGGCCCAAGGACTTGGGCCATCTTTTACTGCTTTCCCTAGGCCATAGCAGAGAGCTAGATTGGAAGAGGAGCAGCTGGGACTTGAACTGGCACCCATATAAGATGCTGGCACTGCAGGCTGGGGCTTTAACCCGTTATTCCACAGCGCAGGCCCCAAGGATTTGATTTTTAAGTTCTTCCGTTAATGAGAGACCCAGAGGCTTAAGTGTAGATATAATTAGATGATATTTTATAAGAGTGAATCACTCCATTTACAGTTCAGATACGCACTTTGAACATAGTTAATCAGATATTTAATATCATTTTGTATTTGATCTTTCATCACAATCTGTTTTTTAAAAATTGGTTATTTTCCTTGAAAGGCAGAGTTAGAGAGAGGGAAAGATCTTGTTCACTACTCAAATGGTCACAACAGCTGGGGCTGGGGCTGGGCCAGGTTGAAGCCAGGAGCCTGGATCTACCCAGGTGTGTGATGTCGGTGGCAGTGGGCCAAGCACTTGGGGCATCTTCTGCTGCTTTCCCAGGTGCATTAGCTATGAGCTGGATCAGAAGTGGAGCAGCTGGGACTTGATCTGATACTCATGTGGGATACTAGCATCACAGACGTTAGCTTAGCCCACTGGGCCATAATGCTGGCCCTGGTATAAAAATATTAAAGACAGCTTTGAAATATGTATTTTAAATAAGTGACTTATGTTAGCTAATAGTTTTATAATAAGTTTTATGCCTGAGGATTGACAGAAATTTATACAGATCATAGAATTCAAAATAGAGATAAATTTAAATAGTATTCCCAGAGAAAGTCAAAGAAATAAGTAGATGCCAGATAGTATTGAAGTACCTGTGTTTACAGGTTACTTACACAGTTTCAAATCCAATTTAACTTGTTCATTAATTGCTTATGTTGGGTATAACAGCTGGTTCATAATCTTTTCCTGATACTTCATTCTATTGGCCCATATACAGTTAAAAAATCTTTCTTGTTTAGTACCAGATTGCAAATTATTCTTTTTTCACAGTTGCTTACCCTCTTCAGTTTTTAATAGTTGTTAAGTAGTTAAAAAGCCAAAAAGAATTACTTAAGATCTCATTTTATTCACATATGCTGCAGAAATTAGAAACCTATCTGTTATTATTAACCTAGTAGAGTCTGTGTAGTTAGAGAAAAGGAGACACAGGGAAACCAAGTTTTTACTGATGAGAACATGCCTATTAAAAGACTTAGTGGATCTAATGCAGAAGCATGTTTCATGTACTGAAAAAAAATATATTGTACAAAATGGTCAATTTGTAATTGCCCATTTTTGATGGAAATAATTGTCTTTGTTAAAAAAGTGATTCTTGATTCATCTTCTGAAGAATGTTAATTTTACTGTATAAACTTTGCATGTCATACAGAAAGTTTCCTTCCCTAAGTTTAACTAAATTTTAATTATATGATAGCATGATTTTCATTTTACATTCTTACAGTTTTATTTCTTTTAGTTTAGCCAAAAGGTACTTCCTTTGTTAAGATTTTTATTTCTGATCTTTTATATGATTATTTCCCTCTTTTTTGCCTTCCATTTTCATTCCCCCATCCCATACTTCCTCCTCAAAAAAGAAAACAAAGCCTAATAACCAGCAAAAAAGGATGGATTTAAAAATATGAACCTAGCAATCTCTTCAAAAATCTTAGTGGAAAGGTTGTAGATTTGTTTTTGCCCAGAATCTTTTGGAAGTTAGAACTTTTCCCATTTTCCCTCTTAATAGAGTTGAGAGAATCTTTGTACAGAGAGGGACTCTTCCAGTTAAATGTCCTTTTCAATGTGCATGACTATTTGTTCCCTAGTGATCATTCTTGTTTTAAAGGCAAAAAGAGCAGATGCATGGCATTCTCTTGAAGTAATCATTATCTAATCTCGCGAAGGATCATTTATGAGCTGTAGGAACTGCATGTGTCTTTAGAAGAAGCATGCCTTAATTTCCATGCCAGGGATAGGAACCTTCCTCTGTTACAGTATGTTTGGAAGGAGGCAATCAAGTAATTGGTGATAGTGCTGGTGTTGAGCTAATGCTATTTTATTTTGTATATATTTCATTCCAAGTACTTAGTAAGAAAGAAAAAAACATTAAACTTTACCATGGTAGTTACTAGGAAAGACTTATTTGCCCTGCTAATAATAGGGTTAAGGAAAAGGGACAGTTGTCTACTGGCTGGAGGTAAGAATAGAGAAAGCTAGGTAGCACTCCTAAATCTACCCTGGCTCCCTCTTATTATTGGGGTGAAGATTGTGAAACAGATCTCTCCAATCAGGGACAAAATTCATCTCAAGTTTGAATTTTCTTAATTGATGTTCATGTCCTCAAGTTATATTCCAAACCCTACTTTTAGTAGTGTTTGCAGTGCATCTTCATATCTTACAGATAAATGTTTGCTTAAAAGCAGTAGTGAGTCATTCCATGGGAGAGAGGTGGAAGGATACTAAGTCGTATTTCAGTGGCATTTTTAATAAAGTAGAAGTGAGATTTCCTCTCTTCTAGGGTCATTGTTTCTCAAAGTGGCCAAAGGATACTAAGTTTGGGAAATTTATTGTAGTCTCGGAGATTTCAGTGCATGTTAGGATGATTATAGTTTCGGAAGTCTTGTCATAAATAAACCTATTTATTTAACTATCTATTACTTTCCTAGGGTTACCTGTTACAAATTACCAAAAATGGGGAGCCTTAGAACAACTGAAATTTATTTCCCACAGTTCTTGATGTCTGAAATCAAAATGTTATTAGCAGGGCCATACTCTCTGAGGGCCCTTGGAGAGGATCCCTCCTTGCCTCTTTATCGCATCTGTAGATGGTTGGCAATCAGTGTAACTCTTGTCTGACTTCATTTTAACCTGTGCTTCTTTCCTCTGTTTTTCCAAATTTCTCTCTTGTTGGGAAGATACACCAGTCACTGGATTAGAGTCCTCAAATCCAGTATGACTGTATCTTATCTTGATTATATCTGCAAAGGCCTTGTTTCCACCCACAGATTCTAGGTGGATGTGCATTTTGGGGTACACTCTGCAACACAGTATGTTATGTGAAAGGAAGGTTGTACTAGCCACTTCAGTTTTGTACATTGTGAGATACTGCTCTTTCAGAGAACACACTGTGAGGACTGTACATAGAAAATAGAGCCTGCTGTAATCTTACATTTTGTCCTTCCCATTGGGAGAGTTAAGTGAATAGGAGAGAGGCCTAAAAAATAAATGAAAAGAATGTTACCATACTGTGTGCCTTTCTTATACTAAAGTATCATTTCTGTATAACTTTTACCTCTTTCCTTCTAGAGTTGTCTATATATTTGGTCCACCAGTTAAAGAACCTCCTACAGATGTTACTCCCACCTTTTTGACAACAGGGGTGCTCAGTACTTTACGCCAGGCTGATTTTGAGGCCCATAACATTCTCAGGGAGTCTGGTAAGTTGCTTGTTGGCTTTATCTCTGCATGTTATAACTAGTTTCTGGAGGATTGGCATTAAGATTCCTAGCAGATGAATATAGCTTTTGATTTTCAAATATTTTTGTTTTTATTTAATTCAGTGAATACTTCCTTTATGCTGCCTTCCAAATAAAATATGTTCAGCTTTGTGGCCATTTGTCAGCATGTGCAGAGCAGCAGAAGTTTTCAGTTGTCTGCTCACAGAGCAGCTGAAGTGTCCAGCAAGATGATGATTGGACTTCTTTCAACTCTCATTCTATAAACAAGGATCCTTTTTGTGGTCTAGTTGGTGTCATATTTTTTGCATTTTCATACTTTTCCCTGATGACTTTGCCATGTTAAATGGCCTCAGGCATAGCACTGAAATGTGCTGTCTGAATTCCCAAGTGCAAGAAGGCTGTGATGTACTTTATGGAGAAAATCTGTGGGTTCAATAAGCTTCATTCATACATGAGTTATAGTGCTGTTGGTTCTGAACTTAGTGTTAATGAATTGACAAAATTTCAATAAGGTGTCTTTAAACAGAAACACATACAAAAGGAGGTTATATATTGATCAGTTGATGAAAATGTTGTGACCACTGCCTTCCTAATCCTGTTTTTCCCCTAGGAGAAGTGGGTATTTGCTGATTCAGTATTTGTAGTATAGAACATAACTATTGTGAATAATGAGTATCAACTCTTCCTGTATATATCATGTCACTGCATTATTCAGAATCTTGTTAGTGATTGAGTCCGCTTGGAATGCTGTGATAGTAGCTAAAATCAGTGCATGTGATGTATATTTGTATGTGATCTGAGATATTTAATTTAATATTAATTTAATAGCACCAGGTTAGAGTGCTTTTCCATGGTGTGGTGATTGGTTCTGCATCTTCCTCCTCTAGGATATGCTGGGAAAATTAGCCAGATGCCAGTGATTTTGACACCACTGCATTTTGATCGGGACCCACTTCAGAAGCAGCCTTCGTGCCAGAGATCTGTGGTTATTCGAACCTTTATTACTAGTGACTTTATGACAGGTGTCCCTGCAACACCTGGCAATGAAATCCCTGTGGAGGTAGTTTTTCAATTTTTTTCTGATATACATTTTTCACTACTTCATAAATTTTATAACACAATGAATGGAATGAGCTATGACAATATTGATATTTCTGGAGTTGGCTCTTTGTTCATAAGATTACCTTTTGTGGTTTTTTTTTGGTTTTTTTTGGCAACTACATAATTAACCATTTAATACAGTGCATGAGGAAAGGGCCTTAAATTTAATATACTCTCCAGATTTCTGATTACTATGTAGAAAGTAACCACTGTAGTCTGCAATTTTATCTAAACTTGCCAACTTCTAATTTATAAAGTTTTCCCCAATAAAGAAGACCTTAGGAGTAAAGAAGAGTTTGTTAGAAATAAGTACGCATGAATTGCCTAATGTTCTGTCTACACTACTAAACCTGATTCCATTTTTTATCACTTTTTCCTCATCATTTTATCCATCTGTCAGAGTGTTCCATAGAAGCTGTCTACATAAGTAGCAAATGATAATCTGATACTTTTATCAGTTGGGCCACTACTCCAATATGAGGCTATGATTGTATATGCCTAGATAGCTATATTGGGCTATGTGGCTTAGAGTCTACTTTCCCTTAGGCTCCAATTTGCTTAATAGCTGGCCAGTCATGGCCATCCTCTCCTGTATGTTTGACAATGGTTGTTATTGTGCTGTGCACCACTTTAGTGGCCCAGTGTTCAAGCCACAATAATTTGTAAAGCATTGGCTTGAACACACAAAGAATCATGCTTGGATGCCACAGCAATGTTAAATTGCTGTGTTATTCAGCGCTTTTTGTGGACCAACAAAAAGCATGACTTGGAAAATAGTACCTGTTTGTGGACCATACTTTTAGTAGTACTGAGGTTGTCACTGATATCTATTATAAATAGGTTCACTATATAAGATTAACCATCCATATACATGGAGGACAATAGTGAAAAAAGTCCTTATCTTAATTTTTTAGATCACATATGTAAACCTGTTGGACATGCGGTGTATCCTGGTTCTTCTATTTATAATCTCTGTTTTTATAACAGGTGGTGTTAAAGATGGTCACTGAGATTAAGAAGATTCCTGGTATTTCTCGAATTATGTATGACTTAACATCAAAGCCCCCGGGAACTACTGAGTGGGAGTAATAAACTTGTTCTGTTAAAGTACCGTGTGCAGTATAAATCGATTAGACACCATTCTTATTACTGACATGCAGTACTGTGAAAACAGTTCATGGAGCAGCTGTGTCACATCTGAGTTATCTACAGAAAACATCTAAAGCTTAAGAGCTGAGTTGGGGATAACTTAAGGGACTGAAGAGATTGTACGGGTAAATAATCAAGCACCATTGCCTACATTCAGACAGATTGATACTGCTTTTGCCTTTGCCTGCCTGTTTTTAATATAAAACTCATCACTGCTATGGCTGTCTCTGTGAAGATGGGGAAGGTGGCAAATGATGAATGGGGAATAGTGGACTTTTTTGTGCTTGCCAGTTTCTCTGAGGTGTTAGACACACCCATTCTTTACCAGAGTGACTATATTTTTTTGGAGAATCTGAGTTTTTGAATAAGTAACCTGATTTCTGCAGTGGGTAAGAAAGAGATGAACATAGCAGATAATGGTATAGGTGGGCTGTTCCAGCCAGTTTTGAGGATGCAGGAACAATAAAATGTAAGCTACTTAAGATAGCAACACACCAGGAATTTGTTAATGTACGTTAGAGTTTTATGAAATCACAGCCATGGAGGAAGAAGGTGTGAACGGTCTCAAGTATCTATGAATGGTCTTAAAGTGTTTCAAACCGTGTCCCCTGTAGATGCCACGTTACTTGTTGTCATCTTACCCATTAGTTGGGTGCTATATCCTCCCAGCCTTGTATAACCAACTTCTACAGTCATGCATAGAAAGCTCTCTCCTCAGAAGAGACTTCCATTGATGTCTTGGTGTGGTGCAGCTGGATCTTGAGAGGAGAGTTTTAATCTCTAGTTTGGTCAGAAGAGCAGCTCTGAGACCACAAAAGCCATGATAAATGCCCACAGTTTACAAAGTAGAAAAGTGCTCGTGTCATCTACTAAAGAGTCATAAAATGAACCCTTTAATCTCATCTGTAGACAGATTGAAGTCTGACTGCTCTTCATGCATGCATAACATTTGATGAACCAGATGTTTGAGGACTTGCTGCCGTTGCCCCCTGTTTATAACTGTTGCCACTTCTTACTTTAAAAGGTCTTTTCTGTTAATCAGATACAGATTTTTGTCTGAGATTCAATGTTGAACAACAAAATGATGCTCGGCAGAAGTCTTCATTCTGACTGGTCCAGAGAACAAAAAACTGCTGCTGGACCAGCACGGGGCAGAGTTTCTGTCTGTTGTGACAGACGTCTGTACCCAAGACAAAGGAGTGTCTCACTTCTTCAAAACTTGAAGTCGGGCTCATTGTCTGTCTTGATGAGGAGGTACTTGCCATTGACTTCTGGAAAGAGGATGTGCTAGTGACCTGGCTTAGAGCCATGTTATTTTAGGGCTAGAATAGGCAACCTATAAAATGCTTACAAACCTGTGTCAGTACATGTTTATGTGAAAAATTCTAGCAGAAGTGTCTTCTGATTCTACATCAAGCAAACAGTAGGAGTCCAGGAACAATGAATAGGGATCTCTTTTCCTTGAAGTATGTCCTATGGAACACCCCTCCACTGAGATGGTCCACGTTGTAAAAAAAAAAAAAAGGCTTAGATAGTTATACATTAATTTGATGTGTGCTACTCACTTGTCTTGGAGATTCATGGTGTACTGTATGTTCAAAGCTCAGAAATTGTGAAGTGAAAAACAGTTGTTAAACGTTGCTTATTAACTGAGTGTTTTCCTGATATGTGCCTGTTAAATACCTTTTTATGTAATTGTGATAACTGAACAAATTATTTCTGTAAAACATCCCTTCACATACAATTTTAAAAGAATCTAAATTTTCTGAAATTCAGAAATTTACTAATATTTAGTACTGTTTTTCTTTGCACAACACTTTTGCTTTGCACCATATAGTGTTACTGTATACTTCTGCAGCATTTCATCTGAGCCACTGAGAAAAATTAAGGTTGAACTTGTATTGTACAGTTACAGAAACAAGCTCAGCTTACCTGTTACCTAAGCAATTTCAGAATTAAATGTCAGATTTCCTTAGTCCCAATTGTCTTTTTCATTAAGTGTATTCTACTGCCTCAAATTACATTTATGGGATAGTTATTTTTTAGGTTTATTTATTTGAAAGGCAGATGATGAGGAATGGGAGAGGTGGGGGAAGATATTTTTCATTGCTAGTTTACTCCCCAAAAGCCTGCAACAGCCAGGACTGGACCAAGCCAAAGCCCAGAAACCTGGAACTCCATCCATGAATCCACCCTGGCGGTGGCAGGGACCCCAGGTACTTGGGCCATTGCCTGCTGCCTCCCAGGGCGGGAAGCTGTACCAGAAGTGGAGGCAGAACTCTAACCCAGGTACTTGCAGGATTCCCAAAGAGTGGCTTAGCTGCCACACCACAGCACACGCCTCTGCGGTGATTACTTTTGGCCAAGACTAGAAAGTTGGCTGCCTAGCTAATCATTACTGGTTATCCAGAGTAGATCATGACCTTTCATTCTCACCTCTATCTAAATAGGTTGTGTTTCATTGTAGCTATTAGATAGGAGGAAAGCAGATGAGTGAAAACTTAAGAATGTCAGACAAAAGAATTTTCAAGAACTAGATACCCAGTCCTTCCTGAATATCCCCATCTGTGATGATCAGGTCTGTTAGAAATAACAGCCTGGCATAATTTCCGGGGACAAGCCTAGATACATACAAGAGATGGGGTTACACCATTTTCTGATCTTTTTCTCCCACTTTCCCCACCCTAGTCTTGAGATAACTCCACACATGTGGTCAAAGAAGCATTATAAATCCTCCCTGTGTTTGGGCTTTTCTACTGAAAGCCTGTTTTGATGAATAACTTGACTCTTAGTTGTAGAGAATGAAAACGTTCCAATTAGGTAGATATGGGTGTCCATCAGTATATTTACCATAAGAGTAAGTAGTTGTGTGAACTTGATAAAATCATTTGTTCTTTAGAAGCTGATGGAACTGAATTAAATTTTGAACGTTAGGTCAGTCCAAAATTTTTAATAAGAACAAGAAAGCATAGCAGATGGGGTCAGCGCTGTGGCACAGCAGGTTAACACCCTGGCCTGAATTGCTGTCATCCCATGTGGGCACCAGTTTGAGTCCTGGCTGCTCCACTTCCAACCCAGCTCTCTGCTATGGCCTGAGAAAGCAGTGGAAGATGGCCCAAGTCCTTGGGCCCCTGTACCCGCATGGGAGAACCAGAAGAAGCTCCCGGCTCCTGGCTCCTGGCTTTCAATCGGTGCAGCTCCGGCCATTGCGGCCAATTAGGGAGTGAACCAGCAGATGGAAGACCTCTCTCTCTTCCTCTCCTCTCTGTAACTCTTTCAAATAAATAATTTTTTTTTTTTTTGACAGGCAGAGTTAGGACAGTGAGAAAGAGAGAGAGAGACAAAGGTCTTCCTTTTTTCCGTTTTTTCATCCCCCAAGTGGCCACTACGGCTGGTGCATTGTGGCCAGCGCGCTGCGCTGATCAGGAGCCAGGAGCTTCCTCCTGGTCTCCCATGCAGGTGCAGGGCCCAAGGACCTGGGCCATCCTCCACTGCACTCCGGGGCCACAGCAGAGAGCTGGACTGGAAGAGGAGCAACCGAGACAGAATCCGGTGCCCCAACCAGGACTAGAACCCAGGGTGCCGGTGCCGCAGGCGGAAGGTTAGCCTATTGAGCCGTGGTGCCGGCCAATAAATAGATCTTAAAAAAAACAGCAGGAGGCAGAGTGGAGAAATAAGGTTTTTTTCCCCAAGATCTTAAAAATATTACCCATCAAGGGTATATTAAAATGCATTGTAAAATCAAATGTTAATTGTTTCTCTGAAGCGATGGTTTGGATCAGTGTGATTTGACCACATGAGAGTGTTCTGTAGTCAGAAGACACTTGGAAAAATACCCATCAGAGTGTCTGGTGGCAGTCTCTTTAAAGCTTTGGAAACGTGACAGAGAAGATGCTTTGGCTATAACACTAATGAAAAGCCATCGTTAGTTATGGAGAGCTAACTGCAGGCAGAGCTAGAGCCAGAACCCAGGCTTTCTGCTTCTCTACATTGAAGAGAATGCTCTAAGGCCTTTCAAGTTAACGCTTGAAAAGTTTTTTGTGTAAATGACCATGACATTCTCTTGGTTAATGTTAGAAATCTTCCTCCCACCTTCCCACTCTACTATCCATATTCTTCCTCACTCATCAGAATTCCCATTAGAATTCCTAAATGGATGTTCCTGTTCCTGCCCAAGTCCAGAATGTAATCAGGGACTGATTTTTGTTGGAAAATAGCCCTTTTGTCCTCACTGAGGTAGTTAACCACACGAGGTGATAGAGGGAACCAGGCTACTCTTCACCATCGGACTTTGACAGCAGTAATGGTGATGATGTTGCCTCTTACATTCCTGAACACTCCACTTAGTGACAACCGAAGAGATCTAGAATACCCAAGAGTCAAGATGCCTACTCCCAACCCTAGTGTTATCTGAAGAGGCCCAGGCCTTCTACTAAACTGATCTTTTTTGTCAGTGTTTCTCAACCTGGATACCTATTATTACTATCTGAGGACTTAAAAAACTATAGTTCTCATACCATGGCCAATTAAGTAAAATTAGAAATTGGAGGTAGAATCCAAACATTTATAATTTCATATCCCTCAGCTTGACTAAACTCATGGAGGGATGTATCGGGCCTATCTAGTTAGGGCTTAAAATCTTAATCCTGTAGATGAAAAATGCAGGCTGTAGAGAGTGACCTGCTGAAGGTCTCGTAGCTAAGTGAATTTGGATTCCGGTACCAGATTCTGGATCTGATTGCACCTCCACCATGTTGTTTGTACTATTTGTACTGTTTAGGACGGTGGATAGTAGTTACTGCACATGCTGATATCTGTGCAAGTACTGCCCAGGTATGTCTCCGCTCTTCCCTCAGAGAACTCTACCCCTGTGCTGTAGTCATCTCCCAATTCTGATTTCTAGCCAGATAATGAAATTGAACTATAATGATGCCAACCTGAGTCATCTGATTTTTAAA